ACATTATTCGTATTTGTACGAATCGTTGTATTCGTACGCATAATAAAAACATTATTCTATTTGATTCGTAGAATATTCGATTCGAAAATTAAATTCTTTACAAATATTTTCAAAAATGAAAAATCAGAGTATGAAAAAATCTTAAAAATTGTTTTGAATGAATCTTTGAATTTAAAAAATATGTGATTTCATTTTGAAAGATTTCTTGTGCATGAAAATTTTAAAATGTTAACTTATATAAAATTTTTCTACTAAACATATTTAGAATTTTAGGTAAAATTTGAATAAAAAAATTTTTTCTTAAAAAATTCTTCATTATTTTTTCTATTTTCAATCTAATTATAGTAAAAAAATAATATGTTCCAAGGAATTTTAAATACTTACAAATAATTTAAAATATTTATGAATAAGTTATATTTACGAATAATTTTATATATTTATGAATAAGTTATATTTACGAATAGTTTTGAATAATTATGATTAATTGTGGAATATATAGGATAATAATATAAAGAAATCAAATTATACGAATAATTTCGAATAATTCAATCGAATAATGGATAAAAAATATTTCGACGAATAATATATTTCCCTTATTCTTACTCAATGCGAATTTTCGAATCGAATAAAATCGATTCGAATAACGAATAATTTGTTATAATTAAAATTTTTGGAAAAAACCGTTAAAAAAGTAGCGTATAACCAAAATTTTTTTAAAATAATTATTCAATTTTATTTTTTTTAAAGTCACTCTCATCTTTATTATAAAACTATTTAAAAGACTATAAAAATTCAAATAAAAATATATTTCGAATAATATACATTGGAATCCACCCAAAAGCCTTCCCCTCCCCGTTAATATCGTGGATACCTTTATGAATATTATATACATTTTATATGAATACTTTAGTAAATAAATTCATTCGTTATAAAAAAATAAATAAAGGTGTAATTATAATAGGCGATATATTCCATAGCTCTATTCAAGATGAAACCATCGATGTACTCTCTAAGTTTGTGGAAAATCGTAAAATTGTGGATAGCCAAGGCACATCTAATAAAGTATCCATATTAGTTCTTGAAACTGAATTCAGTTTTAAAATTAACTCCTTTAATATTGATTTTTCGGAATTCTCTAACGATTCTGATTCTAATGCTGGCTCTTTAAATAATCCAGAAAAAACAAATAATATCCCAAAAGTGCACTTTTTCAACTCGTTATTTATTTTAACCTATATACCCTTTTTCGGAATTACACAAGAAGAATTTAATGCTTGGTTCCTTGATCAAATAGACAGGGAGTCATTATACTTTGAACAGTCAAACACGGTATCTGCATTGAAAGTAAATAATAAAATATTTGATATCTACTATACTTAATGATTTAAGATAAAAAATTATTCTAATTTCATTCATATAAATTAAGACTTAATTTAATGTGATCGAAATCGCTATAGATAATAGCAGAACGATCGCAAAAATTATCGTTTTTGATTTTTAAAAGAAATATAGATAACTTTAATCCAACTTGGTAATTTAAGTATTATTAATAATATTAAGAAAGAAATGTTAATATCATTAAAAGCTTTTATTCGATTTACCGGCTAATCAGGGATCTCATCGTAACGCCTTCACTATATATTCAATCTAATTATTATAAAAAAAACCTACTCTTTTTAGAATTTGACCAATAACAAGGTAGTCTAAGTTGCAATATGTGAGAAATTAATTTATTTTCAATAAATAACCTTATCAGGCCAATTCTCTTTTTATAATGCGTGCATTTAAAAACTGGGAACTTATATTTTACCCAATTTCATTTATATTCGTCCATTCGCAATTTTTCATTTAACAATTTTATCAATTTAAACCAGGAATGTGAACCCCGACCCGCACCTCCATAATTTTGCAGAACCCTAACCAAGATCTTTTTAAAAGTAGAGGGTAAGATCTCAAGGTGTCAAAAAAAAAATATTAAAAATTTGTAAAATTATATTAAAAAATTTTTTAAATTCATGAAAATAAATTTAAAATATTTTTTCGTGGAAATATATTTTTCCTTCGCATTTTTCAAAAAATTTCTGGTTTTACACTTCCACTTTATAGATAATATTTTATTAAAATATCATATTTAATGCTAATAATATATACTAGGAATACGTTGTTTATCTTGTTTTCATTTATATCAATTTTAGAAAGTGAAATATTGCGAATTTATAGTGTAGGTAATAATATTTTCTCATAGATATTAAGGCTATGAATTTTTTTAGAGTAAATTAATCAAAATGGGCATCCTAAAAATGTTAAAATCTATATTTTTTTTCTAATTAATCATCTGCATATAATATTTTTAAATCGCCTTTAAAAGAAGAAGAATCTTAAGATCAAGGAAATTTCTAAGAAAAATTTTCTTTTGAACTTGAATTTAGTAAACATTTAGAAATTAATAGATTTACTAGATCCCAATTTGTTAATTAACAATTCTAAAGGAAGAACTTATAAGACAAAATCTAGAGATCTTAAAAAAAAATTATACCTGTAACGTCATGCAAGCATCCAGAATTTGATTTATGAGTAGATTTCATTTATAGAAAAGGAGATTTCTGCAGCAACATGTTAGAGGGGAATTCATAAAATGGGATTCGTTTTATAGGGTATTTATTGATTTGTCATTATGGGCCTTACCAACTCTTTATTCTAGAGTATATAAAAATTATAATATTACAATGGACTCTTAAATACAGTAATTTGACCATAAACAATGAAAACCCGTTCTCCTCTCTGATGAATTACCGTTTGAAATTTATGAGTTTTAAAAGTGTTGGAAGTTTAACTTTTGTAAACGACAGAATAGACGCTTTAAAATGTTAAGAGACGTTAAATCAACGTTATGACCTAGTCATCCATTTCATGATGACGCAAATGTATTCAACAAAACGGGACACCATGTCATAGAAATCTAATAAGGTTTACCCTATAGAAGAATAAATATTTTGAAGGGCAAACATCGATCCATCACTTAAACTCAGTTGAAAGACAGAATATCATGAAAAAAATACAATTTAAAATATGCCTTACTACTATACTAAGATGAGTCTATAGTAGTTATATGGAATTCTATAACAGGGAAATCATGCGGGGATATAATAAATTCAAAGCCTAATAGAATAAACGCTGTTATAAAAAGGGGATTTAACCAAATATTAAATTCAATGAAAATGAAGATAAATTATGAAGCGCTTTTATATTATTTTTGAATGTGTTTTTATATAAATTAATAAAATTTCATAGTTTTATATTCTATAAAATATTAATAATTTTTAATATCATTATTTCTACGTAAGAAAATATTAGTTACAAATAATTAAACATCACAATAAATATGCTAAGGATAATAAAATTAATAACATAGATTATAATCAGGTGTATTATTTGTAAAATGTTACTAATTTTGGCCCATAACAAAAAATCTGGGTTTGTTACAATTCTTTAGCAAATTTTTGTTTAGATAATTTCTTAATACATTAGAAAATATTATGAGAAAATATTGTAATATATAATCTGAACATAATCGTCCACATATTTTGTTAATATAGAGTAGATAAAGAGTTACAGTTATATAGGGTGTTATTTTTTTTAAAACCTATCATTGTTTTCATATTTTTGTCATATAAACTTTATCAGATAAAAGTGATATATTAAAATTTAATTATCAATGCAGAATTTATTTATATAATTAACATCATATGCGAAAATTTTAAAAATATGTTTCTATTTATTTTAACAAATAGTTAACAAGAATACCCTCTTTTCTTTTTTCCGCAATTGATTATATCAACTTTCAATCGCTTGATGCCCCCAAAAAACAAGCAGCAATTAATCGTTTGATCACGATAAAACAAAACCATACAAATTTTAATAGCAAGTTGAATTCCACTCTTGATAATAAAACAGATATCCTTATCAATACAATATACGAAATAAAATCCGATTTAATAGGATATTCTCGTTTTTCTTCAGAGGGCCTCATACTAGCCTCTTTTATTGTTATGCATTATATTGAAAAATTGTCCAGTTTTAGAACAGTTTTATCGATCCAACAGGACTTTAGAAATAATTCCAATATAAATAACGAAAGACGTTTTAAGGTGCTATCTAACAATGAGACGCAATTCATTGAATCCTTGTTTTTTTACAAATCATTGGGAAAGTTAATTTGTGAAGAGAAATACATTAAGGATTTAGATGGTTTGTATTTATTAATACATAATTAATATAAATTCTATTCAATTTTTACACTTATATAAATCTAACGTATATTATTGGGAATTAATTTAGGTCCCGCTGAAGAGTTAAGCGTAGCATTTTTCAGTGTGTTGTTATGCGGTATTCTAGGATTTTCAATATTCTTCTTTATCAAGTAAAATAATTTTTCTTAACTTCTTTTGTTATAATAGCTGTAAAATGAATATTTATGTTTGTACATTTTATAAAAAATGCAACTATTTTAACAAATGTAATTGATAACGTAGAGCAGCCAGCATTTTGCTAAAAAGGGGGGGGGGCATTATTAGCCCTGTTTTTTCCGTAAATTTTATTAGATGGTTTTAGGCTCCCTTCATTGGATGTAAAACTTTGGCCGGGTTATATTTTTAAAAAAATAATTTTGTTTTTTTTCACTTTTTCCAAAAATTAAAATGCTTTCTTTCTTAAAATTATAGTGATTATTTTTAAAAAGTTATTAATTTTTCTTTTAAATTATTGTTTAAATAGTGACATGCGGTATACAAATCTTTTGCAAAGAGGTGGGGGGGGGGAGAGGGTGTAGGGAGGAAATTAACTTATGATATTTAGGAAAACAGGCAAATTTCCGTTGGCTAATGATTGACAGAATCTTTATAATTTAAGTTACATAAAAATATATTTTTTAAATGTTTTAACCTTTTATAAAATAAAAAAATTATTTTTAGAAAGCGAATGTCTTTTAAGCAAATGTTTTTGGGACCACATAAGATTATAATTTTGCCATCAGATCTGGATTTCAATAATTTGTCCATTACCAATTTCAAATCTAAAATAGTATGATCATTATATTAATATAAATATGACCTGCAGATGTACCATTTGCACGGCCCGGTCCAGATTTAGGCCCGTATTTTATATTTTCAGGCCCGGTCTGGCCAGGATTTTTTAGAATATATTACATTTATTTTTTTTTATAGTTAATAATGACAATAAAATATTCAGTTTAAATTATATGGCCCGGTCCGGATATTTTTTAAAAAAAGATTTTACGCCCGGCCCGGGTATTTTAAAAAAATTAAAATATGGGCTGGGCTTAAGGTTAGACCGGGCTTACAGGCCTCTGACAAATATATATGGATTAGATACACAGCACATATAATGTATATCTAAATTTTTTAAGATTGAAGAAGGATCCAAGCCAGAAAATATAGCTAATGAGAGCAAAGAAATAGATGCAAATGGTTCGGGTCATTTATTAAAAGCCACTACAAATGCGATATCTCCTAATCAAAGTACCTTAATCAATACGGCTATTAAAATAGACAAGCAAAATGTTAATACCTCTGCATCAAGTAAATTGAACAATTCAATTCCAGTATTGGGTCCTCATCAAGGATTCCAATTAGCCAGATATATGGTATTTTGTATAATGTTTCTACATTATATTATTTTATTTAGGGGGATATCGTCATAATTCGACCTACTCCAATCAAAGGATCGCATATCAAGAGTAAAACAATGCGAGTATTAAGAATGGTAATTTGTCTATTTTATTTGAATAATAACATTTTTTTAATTCAAAAGATACGAGATTTAAGGCATGAGAATATTAACAATCTTATTGGTATATATTTGAAACCAGAACCACCTCATTCTCTAGTTTGGGAATACTGTAGTCGCGGAAGTGTAGAAGTATACTATTTTATTTAATTATCTATAATATATTTTTTATCAGGACATTATCAAAGCAGAAAATATCAAACTAGATTGGCAGTTTAAGGTTTCATTGTTAACTGATTTAGCCAAAGTAGAAAAAAAATATTAAATGATGATATAAAATATTTTTTAAGGGAATGAGATATATTCACTCAAGTCCTATACGATGCCATGGAAATTTAAAATCAAGGAATTGTGTTATTGATAGTAGGTGGGTTTTGAAAGTAACGGGTTATGGTATGACATATTTATCGGAAGTTGAAGATTTTCGTATAGAAAAAAGTCTGGAGGGTATATTAATCACTCATATGTAGATAAATTATTTGTATAATATCAGATTTATTGTGGGTTGCCCCGGAATTATTAAGAGATCCTATTTTGATGGCAAAAGGAACACAATCCGGTGATATATATAGTTTCGCTATTATTGTGCAAGAATTAATAGTAAGAGGGCCCCCATTTAATAATAGCAACATCACAACGGAAGGTAAATATGTTAAAAATAATTTCTTATATAAATTATATAATTTAGAAATTCTTCGCAAAATTCAGAAACCTCCTCCTTTAATTCGTCCCAACGTATCAAAACAAGATGCGCCACCACAAGCTATTCAGTTAATGAAACAATGCTGGGCAGAACCACCTAATATGAGACCAGATTTTAATCAAATTTTGGAACAACTAAAAACTACTATTCAAGGAAGGTTTCGTTTTATAAGATTTTTAATTTATTAAAAATAATGTAGGTTTTTTTAATGAGTAAATTTTCTTACAAATTTTTTTCGCATTGAATAATTATATTACATGATTTTTTCTAGAAAAACCAACATAGTTGATACTATGTTTAAATTATTGGAAAAATACTCGAGTAACTTAGAAGAAATAGTACAAGAACGAACTATGCAATTAGAAGAAGAGAGAAAAAAAACGGAAGCATTACTTGAAAAAATGTTACCTAAGTAAATATAAACTTTATTATAAATATTTAACTTAACTTAAATTCAATTTTATGTTTATTTATAAAACGCTTCCGTCAATCCCGCGAAATATTTTCCGCGAAATGTATTATCGCAAGTGCATTACAGTTAATGTTAATTACCGCGAAAATATATTTAGAAAATACATTCTTGCGAATCCATTATAGAGAATTCATTACCGCGAAAATAATATAGGGAATGTGTTAGAGCGAAATCACTATCTCTTCATTATAGTGAATGTATGAATCTAGGAAAATAATTCCCCGGAAAAAAAATCCCCGTTTTTTAAGATATTAAAAATTACAAAATTAATAAAATAAGAGAAAAAATTCCCTATAAATATGTCCATGGAATAAAAATCCTCAAATAATATATTTTAAAATTTTGAAAAAATCAATTGAATTATTTTCTAAGAATTATTATTGGGGATATTTTCCGCTTACCCGAATGTATATTCGCGAATGCATTATGATGAATGCAATAGTGATTTATAATACAAATGGTTAATATAAAATATTTAAATTATTTTGGTACTTGTGGATATACTTTATAATAAGGAGTTCATCAATTAATATATTTTTATTTTCTTAATATTCGGAAACTATCATTTTATTACCTTTTGGGATTGCCGGACCCATTATATTTTCCCCACCGGATCTCCCTTTCTCTAAACATTTGAAAATTGATATATAAATTTAAGTTATATTTAAGAAAATTAAATGTTGGAAATATAGATAAAGCACAAATATTCTTAAGAAAAAATTATTGAATATATATAAACTTACAAAGTATTTATGAAAAAAATATGGTGTAATAAAAAATATAATTAAGAAAGATATTATAAATTTACAATGTGAAATTTAATCTTCCTTGGGATTGAGCTAATTTTTCAATTATTTTACTTGTGCTAGTGTCATCCTTATCCTCATTAAGTAGCGCTAACCCATTCAATCTATTTTTAAGTGTAATACTTCTCAGATAAGTTTTTATTTTTCTTAAAGAAAAAAAAAGTTCTTTCATTGATACAAGTACTAATGGGTATGGTGTCAAAATAAAAAATAATTTTAATATATTCGGAAAAGAGTCTAAAATAAATTTTAATTTTTCAAAGCATGTATGGCAGTGGCATCGCCGGGGTGGCCTAGTGGGTTATGATGTAGGTTTGGAAATAGAAGGTCCCAGGTTCGATCCTGGTAAGGAACGTAAAAATTTTCCGGTTTTTCTTCGAAGACTGATGTTTAAAGACATATGGTAGGATGAATTTCGGAGCTTAGAGATGACACCCCGGTCATCGACAGGCTTGGACAGCCGAGCGCTAAGAATACTTGTCCAATAAACAAAAATGAAGGACACAAATGAAAATATGAATATGAAAGCTAGAGCGTTCCCTCCAAGCGACGCGCAGGGTGTTGACCTCCATCCTGCGAAAAGTAAAATAAAGGTCAAATCAAAGAAGACAAGGTTAGCAAGTTTGGATATTGGGACACTTAAAGGTAAGACGAGAGAATTGGAATCAATGTTGAACAAAAGAAATGTTGATATAGCGTGCATGCAAGAGACGAAATGGAAAGGTCAGAAGATTATATTAAATTGTACTATTATGGAATTGTTAGCTATAGGAACGGTGTCAACATCATCCTCAGTCAAGATCTAACCTCCTCAGTATTAGAAGTCAACAGGATCTCTGATAGACTAATGAAGATAAAACTCTGCATTGGTCAATCAATACTACACATCCTTTCAGTATATGCTCCTCAAACGGGTTGCAAAGAAGAGGAGAAAGATGACTTTAGAGCTATCCTTGATGAAGCTGTAATGGAAATTCCTAAGGATGAACTAATCATAATAGATGGTGACTTAAATGCACATGTGGGATAAGCAAGAGATAGCTACAAAAGGCATCATGGTGGTTTTGGATACGGAGAAAGAAATGATGAAGGAGAACATGTACTGAAATTTACGCATGCCTACGACCTTGCCTTAACCAAAACCTACTATAGGAAAAAAGACAGTCATTTAATAACATATTAAAGTGGTATAAGGAAAACACAGATAGATTACAAGCTAATCGTAGAAGATTAAAAGATGTAATAGACAGCAAAGTCATCCCAGGAGAAGATATCGCCTCGCAACAAAGCTACTAGTCATGGATTTACACTTCTCAAATAAATCCACTCAAAATAAGATAAAACTTGAACCATACATCAAATGGGGTAAATTAAAAAGAATGACAGATGCCTTTGCAATCAATGCAAACATTGAAACAATAGATTCCTCACAAGTCAGTGAAAAAATGTGGACAGACCTTTCATTCAGATTAATAGACACTGTCAAATCGACATTAGGTTTGACAAGGGGAGGCAACAAATCATACAAAGAATTATGATGGTGGAATGAAGAGGTACAAATTACTATAAAGGAGAAAAAAGCCCTATATAAAATATGATACTAATCCAAAAACCCAGATGATAAGACAAATTACAAAAAATCCAAGAGAATAGCTACAAAGGCGGTGGTTAGGACCAAAGCTATGGCATACGATGACATGTATGAAGAACTACATACCAAAGAAGGGCAAAATAAAATATACAGATTAGCCAAACAGCGAGAAAAGAATTCTAGGTATATAAAGGGAGCTCCGAAAGTAATCAAAAATAAAGATGGGAAACTGATAATAAAGGAAAAAGAAATAATGAATAGATGGAAATAATATTTTCAGGAGCTTCTTAACTCAAAACCTTGTACAACCAATAACAGAACAAGAGATAATCACATGCCTCAAGCATATGAAAAACAACAAAGCTAGGGGTCCAGATAATATTCCAATAAAAAGCCTATACATCTCCTCACAAATCTTTACAATAAAATACTGGGAAATGAAGAGATCCCTCCAAAATGGAGGCAAATCTATCTAGTTCCTATCTTCAAAAATAAAGGGGATCCACACAATTGTAAAAATTACAGGGGCATAAAACTAATGTCACACTGTCTTAAACTCTACGAAAAAATAATAAAAAAATGGTTAAGAGACATAATCGAAATGGGAAAGACTCAGTTTGGCTTTATGCCTGGAAGATCAACAACTGATGCTATCCAAGCAATTAGGCAAATGAGTGAAAACTACAGGGAAATAAACAACAAGCTACACATGGTCTTTCTCGATCTAGAAAAAGCCTTCGATAGGATCACAAGAAAACTTATCTGGTGGGCGCTAGGCCACAACAAGGTTCCCGAAAAATATATAAGAATAATACAGGATATTATATGGGTCATACAACAATGGTCCGTAGCGCAACTGGTACTTCAACAGGCTTCACAATAGCCGAGGGAGTTCATCAAGGGTCGGCTCTCAGCCCACTTCTCTTCATAACAGTAATAGATGTATTAGAACAGTCTTTACCACAAATAATCCCGTGGAATATGATATTTGCAGATGATATTATTGATACTTGCCGAATCCAAGGATGAAATGAAAGAAAGATTAGTGAGCTGTATAAATATCCTAGAAAAGCACGGACTAAAAGTAAATAGAGAAAAAACGGAGTATATGGTGATAGGAGATGAAACAGGGAGCTTTGATTTAAATGATGGCAGATATCGGCAATTGAAAGCTGCAGATATTTGGGCTCCACTATACAAACAAACGGCACAATAGAGAAAGAGATAAAGAGTAAAATTAATCAAGGTGGTTAAAGTGGAGATCTTTATCTGGAGTGCTATTTGACAAAAGAATCCCACACAAATTAAAGGGAAAAATTTACAGTTCCATAGTACAACCAACTATTTTATATAGTTCGGAAACATGGCCAACCAAGGAATCAGACGAGGGAAGTCTACAAACTATAGAGATGAGAATGATTGCTGGGGTAACAAGAAAGGTTAAGGTGCGAAGTACAAGAATACTAGGAAGTTTAAAGGTAGTGCCCATTAAGACTAAGATAATGGTAAACAGACTTAGGTGGTATGGGCATACAATGAGAAGGCCTATGATCTACATAGGAAATAAGGTTGAGAGTTTGGAAGTGATGGGCAAACGTAAAAGAGGAAGCCAAAACTTCAATGGGGCCATAAAGTTAGAGCCAATATGAAGAAGTATAAATTAGATAAACGAGATAGTATAAATAACATAAAGTGGAGAGAGATATTGAAAGAGCTTACAAAGGTGAAAGCTAAAGAGAAAAAAAAAGTATGGCAGTGGCAGTTAGGAATTTTCTTTAGAGGTGGGTCCATATCTCTAAACGGCTGAGCCCTCCCCCCAGAATCCCGTTAAGGGGCTTAGATATAATTGAGTAAATTTGTTATATTTGAGAAAATCAATTAAATATAAAATCTTTTTACTTTTAGAAATTGAATTGAGATTATATATGACATGAGTTTATAATTATTAAAAACGACCTCGCTAAACTCTCTTTAAACAATCATTGTTCAAAAAAATAAGACTTGTTATTTAGGATGTAGATTCAATTGGTTTGTTAAATCTTAATTCTTAATCTATTTTTTTATGGGCAATATATTGATATAATATACCATTAGTATATAAATAATTCATATATGACATTTTTTGAGTTTTAAAAAATATGCAAAATTTTTAATAATATTTTCCTATTTCTATTGCATTATCATACAGAATTGATTTAAATCTAAAATACTAACCAATGAATACTTATTTTATATTATTAAAATAAATCATATATAAGCATAACTTAATTAATCAGACTAGCCCTGATCTACTAGCTTCTAGTTACTAATAATTAATACCTTCTAAAAATATAAACATGATTGATTATTAGGAAATAAGAAGAGAGGGTTTTTATTTCTTATGTTCATTATTTTTAAACTTTTCATATTTTTATGCCGCTTAATATTGTCTTGTAAGAATATTTTCATTTTTACCTAAAAAACACATTTTATCATAAATTTTTTTTTTAAATAGTGAGTGGTAAAAATCTTTTTAGCTTTAAATATACATATTATAGAATGTTATTACATAATTAAGTTTACATTTCCAAATTTCTGGTTTTAAAATTAAATCTGCTAAACTGGCAAGTCCCTCGCGCCGACTAGCCTCTATATTTATTTATTTTCCCTGTTACCAAAATGTATCGATATAACAACTTCACCATATTTATTTTACTTTGATATGGATTCATTTTTATTATTATTTGAAATATATTTTAAAAATAACACCCAATAGAAGAAGGGAAAGGATTTATTGCTTCTGAAATTTATTGGCATTAATCTCAGTCATTTTAATTCCGAAATATCCTTTTTGACCCAAACTCGATTTTATGTTCATTTTCTGGTTCTATTAAGTATCTAAAGGCCGATAAATATAAAAATGTAATTTTCACTAAACTGCTTTCCTGGTATTGCAACTGAGGTAATTCACTTGCATTAGCGAAAAAGCATTAGCACTGTTGCCTTCGCGGTAATACATTCGTGATAATGCACTCGCTGTAATACTTTTGTTATATTATTTTCGCGCTAATACATTCGCATTACTGTATTAATGATAATGATTTCGCTGTAATAAATTCTTGCAAATACTTTCACGGTAATTTTGTGATATTATATTCGCGGAAATAACTTTTCGCAATAATATATTTCGCCCTAAAATTCGTGGTTGATATGTTGTAACTTGTAACCCACTTATATATGTATATTACATTATCAGAGCTATCCGAATTATTATGATTAAACATGAACTTATTTTTAAATTTTCATAGATCTGTAGCTGATAGTTTAAAGATGGGAAAACGAGTAGATCCTGAAAGTTATGGAGAAGTGACAATATATTTCAGTGATATTGTCGGTTTTACGACTATCTCTGCTGAAAGTACCCCATTTGAAGTCGTTGATTTTTTAAATGATCTTTATACCTGTTTTGATTCCGTCATTCAAAACTATGATGCCTATAAAGTATTTTATTAAATACTCTTGAATATCTTATTTAAATGAATATAGTTTGAAAAATAGAAATAATTTTATTTGTTTTATTGATATTAGGTTGAAACTATTGGAGACGCTTATATGGTTGTTAGTGGATTACCTGAGCGAAATGAAGAAAGGCACGCTATCGAAATAGCTACGCTTTCATTAGACTTATTACATAGCGCCGGCACATTTATAATTCGTCACAAACCTGATATTCGTTTAAAATTAAGAATAGGATTGCACACAGGTAATAATAGATTAATATTTTTCAAACTTATATATTTCATACTTAAGGACCTTGCGCTGCTGGTGTTGTAGGTTTGACCATGCCTAGATATTGTTTATTTGGTGATACTGTTAATACCGCTTCAAGGATGGAATCGAATGGAAAACGTATAGCATATTTCTATTCGTATGTAATTTAGTAGAATAAAAATTTTGTTTATTTTCATAAACAATAATTTAATAGAAAGTTTATAAAAGTTATTTTTTTTTCGTTTTATATATGCTTAAAATAATTATATAATATAATTGGATTACCCACTATAATATAGGCGATGGCTAAGAGTAAAATTTAATTTTTGGTAAAAAAATAACGTCCATATAAAATTTAACCCTGGTCAAAAATAATGAGATAACATTTATTTAAAAAATAGTTAAACTTTTTCTTTTGACTAGAAAGCAGTTAATATACAAACTTAGCTAGTTTATAAACTAGCCTTCTTGTTTACAAGCTGACCAACTAAATAAATAGCTAGCTAACTTTTCTTTTGTAAATTTTATTTAGATTTTGGAGTATATTTTAAGATTTTTTTTGAATTAATTTTTTTTCTTCTGATTTTATTATATATTTTCCATTTTTTGAGTAATTTGTAACTTAATTTTTCTAAGTTTTTGATTACTCTCATTTACGCATGCGTTTATTTCCACCCATTTTTGAGTATTTTATTTTTAAAAAAATTAACTTCATTTTTTTTAAACTACATTATTTTATGTATTTTTTCCAGATATTTTTGTGTTCATTATTTTTTTTTTAAATTTTCAACTTTATATTTTCAATTTGTTAGAATTTAGATTCCAGATTTTAATTAGGAAAGAAAGACCCACAAAATGAGTTGGCATCAATCATGAGCCAATAAAATAGATTGTTTTTTGTCTTGGGTCGGCTCAATGTACTCTAAAAATGTGTTACTAGAAACGAATTCGACTTATGTGCTCTAAGTTTTATTCGTATTCTTATCAAATCTTTACCGAAAAAATTATAATTAGAAGAAGAAGCAAGTATTGTGATATATAGAGAATCCCCAAAATATTAGGCAATAAAACTTTAAAAAGACAATAAAAAATTAAGCAAAATCAATGGGAGAGGGGAATATAAAATTAGGTCAAAAGGGATAAAAAATATAAGTTTAATAGAAAAAATTAAAAATTGTAAATTCAAGATCAGGTAAAAATTAAGTTGTATCAAACTAAAACAATTCTTAAATACGCAAAAATGGGTAGAAAAATTAGATATATTTTTATAAATAAATGATATAAAATATAATAAAAAAATGGAAATGATACACAATCATAACCAAAAATTCATAGAAAATAAACGAAAAATTAAATTTAAGAAAATCTAAAAAATGGGCTGAAAGAATATATAATATAAAATTAGAAAAATTTTTTTTATTAAATTTAAAAAAAATATCTTTAAAATATCAAAATATACTAAAAGAGTAAATAATCAATTTAAAAAATAACAAAATACTCCAAAACTTAAAAAAAATATAGCAAATTTGTAAACTAGCTAGGTTTATATATTAGCTGGAACATTTATACTTTTTAGATAAATTATTATTATACTTGCTTAGGATTAGAATAAAAGATTATATTCAGTGGAGATCTGCAAAAGAAAGCTCGGCCCGTACCCGGCCCAAACGGGCTTCGGGTCGGGCCGGGCATAATATTTTATAAGAAAATTCGGGCCGGGTCGGGCCTTAAATTTTTTTAAAAATATATCTAAATTTATCAATTTTATGTTGAATTTTTTATGTAAAATAAAAATATGTGATTTTATTTATAGAAAGTAGACGCCATATAACATATATCTTTTATTTTGAGTAATTGTAAGAATTCATTTCTATATCTAAATAAATTCGGGCCGGGTCGGGCCAGCAAAATTTTTTAAAAAAATTTCGGGTTCGGACCGGGCCGGGTAAAACTTTATAAAAAAATTCGGGCCGGGCTGGGCTTGAAAAATTAGGCCCGATGCAGATCACTAATATTCAGTACTTCTTTAAACTAATTTTATGATTTTTTATGAATTTATTTTTAAACTTTCCATAGCTCCCGGTTTCTCCTAGTAGGTATGATTACGCTTAAAATAACCTTACTATATTTCTTTATAAGAACGTAGCATTCATTAATTGGATAATTTAATATGAAAATAATAATATCGCCTCCTAAAGCTTTTTTGCATCATTTCAGGTTATTATCACAATATGCAAAGTGATAACTATATAGTGTGCGATAAAAATTCTCCCAAAAAAATATAATAAAAAAATATCAATGGAAATTTTATTGTTTTTAAATATTATTAATTAGTACTCCTCACTAGTGTTGTTAAACGGCTCCTTTTGAGCCGATTTTTAAAAACGGTTAACTCAATATTTAAACCAGATAAATATTGACTAAGCTTCAAGATTTTGACAGTCTGAATCTTTGTTCCTTCTATGAGCAAAATCTTCAGGCTTGGGTAATATTTGTCTTAATGAAGTATTAAGTTAGCCGTTTTTAAAAATCGGCTCAAAACGAGCCATTTAACAACACTACTTCTCACTCATACTCTTAAATTTTCAAAAGCCCATCTACTTAAGTAAACAGGTATTGAATTGTCATTATTTATATAAATTTGCTACTTTCTTGTCAAATCACATATGCAGACCTAAATCCCATAGAAATTAGTGAAATCTATTAAATCTATCGTCAAGAAAATCTGTCTCCCAATATGTTTAATTCATTCTGCGATTTATAAAGATTGGATTTGCTTCTGATCACTGGTTCCGTCTAATATCTCTCTTCAAACTAGCAATTGTCAATAGGATATCATTAAACAAAGGGGCTTAAATTTACTCTAAATCTAGATTTAAAGCTTTTAAAAATTCCGAATGAACTCTGAAGCGGTATAGATTCCAAAACTATACGCTCTATAAAGATCACTTTCTTTTCATTCTTTGTGGGACGTCTGGCTTTTTATCATAAATTAATATTTTGAAATATTTTAACTATACATATGGGGAAATTTCATCAATTATGGAACTAATTGGTCTAAATATGAACAAACCCACAGTTAGAATAACTCTTACATGACTCAATCTATCCTCCTAGATTAAATTTGCTTAAATGTGCGCCGAAGTCTATAATATTTTTTCAATTAAAAAAAATAAACATGATTAGCTTTTTCGGAGGCACGCGCGTAACCAGGTGGAGGGATCCCCCATCGCAAATTTGCCTGTTTTGGTAACATCTTATGTTAATAACCCCCCCCCCCTTTTCCCATCTAAAATGTAGATAACATATGAATTTGTAAGTAACATTTCTAAAAGTTAATAACCTTTTAAAATAATGATCATTCAAAATTTTTAGAAAAAAAATATTTTTATTAAAAAAAAGGTGAAAATTTTTAAAAATATTATATAGCCAAATGCCTACAATAATTGGACCAAACGTCCATAATAACATTTATCGGAAAAACCCCCATAGTGCCCTCCTTACCAATCGGATGTTTAAATCCCATTCGTTATAGTTTTGTGTAACCAGGGTCATTTTAGATGGGTATAGAGGATTTTCATTAAAAAAAATCCACACATAAAATATTATGGTCAACACATATCCATATTTGCCATGACCAAATAATGAATCAATATCAAACCCCAATATATTTTTTAAATACATTTATTTATTTTTATGATGATTATGAATTTTTTTTTATTATTTTATCATTTTTTTGGAATTCAATAAAAATGCCATTATTAAATTTAAAAAAACTGTTATATCATATTAATAATTTTATAATTAAGCTTTGAAAATCCATATAAGTTGGACACTACGGGATAAATTAGAAGCACTGGGCGGATTTGACATAAAATATCGCGGAGATATACAAATTAAGGTTTATATTTTAGATATCTAAACAATTTATTTATATATAATAAATGCCGAATGTTCGTTCAATAATAAAAATTTATTCTAATCATACAGGGAAAAGGATTAATGAAAACTTATTGGTTATTGGGAAAAAATGGATTCGACAAATCATTGCCCACCTTATCAGATGATGATGATAAATAAATTCATCTATTTCAATTAGGCCAAATCATTAAAATAATATATGCAGAAATAATTTTTAATAATTTTTTATATTAGTATAAATTTGTAAATATCGAAGTTAATAATAATAAAATATTATTAACTATGAAATGAGTAAATTGAATATTTAAAATGAAAATATTAACATTTTAATTTTATAAAAAAAAATTTCTATAAATTCATTTTGGGAATACTACTATGAAAGGTTGGGACTTAGCTATAAAATTACAGTGGTGATCTAAAGTTTTGTAAAAAGAAAATGGACCTAAAGCAATAAGTTGACCCATACCGAATTTTATAAAATTCTATCATTTAACCTACTGAAAATCATATGAAATATCATTTAAGATTCATTCATTCCTCATATCAAATTCCCTTTGAAACCACTTTTCTTTAATATCATTTAAAACTATCTTTAATATACAGCCAAAATTTTTAAAATCCGGACTAGGCCTTAAAATGATTAAATTTCAGGAAATCGGTCGTGGAGCTAGGCCTAGTAATTTGACCTTCAGGTCTCATAAAATATTATGAGTTGTAATCAGGGACCTGGAATAAGAGTATTTTTGCGTTCCCCTTCCGGTCAAAAAAAATTGTTCCGTTCCAGCTTTCGGAACGTTTCTAGAACAATATCTAAATATATTTTCTAAATCTATACATTTTAATTAATCTTTATTTAATTATTATATTGAAGCAATAATATATTTTCTAAAAGATTATCATTTATATATTGATTTTTTGGGTGATAGAAATAAAGTTTAACACTTAACTGGCTATAGATGATTTTTTATTATCAAAAATATATTATTTTATTTAATAAGAAAAAAATTAATTTTATAGAAAAAAAAACAATTAAATAAATTTTTTAAATTTGATAAAAATGTTTCTCCTCTTAATTTTTTAATCTACTACTTGTTTGCTAATTGTTATAACTTTACTAGTATTGTATAGTTTAACATGATTAATGATTATTTATTTTTAAAAAAAAATTATAAAATAAAAAGAACTTAATATAGGCAACTGTGATGGATTAAAATTTTTTATTTTTATAATTAGACTATATCCAAAATGTTTTGAAAAAAACCTCAAAATTTATAAATTTTCGCAAATCAATAACATTATTAAGCATCTCCGAAATCTTCCACTTTTTATTTTTAAAAAATAACGAAAAAAACAAAGAAAATCCAAAAAATCAAAAAAAACAAAAAAACGAGAATAAAATAGAAAAAAACATTCTATATTACTTACGAGTTTTTTCATAAAAATTACCCAAATAAATAAATTTTTATTCAAAAGTTTTAATATATTTTTTTTTAAATTATGTGAATATATGATTATTTGAAATTGCAATTTCTATTATTTTTTAAAAATAATAAATTTTTGTAAAAGACGAAAAATGACTTAGAACACATTTTTACATTAAAAATAGCTTATGTTATATCTTCAAAATTTATTTATTTATATTTTTTAATTTTTGGACATAGCCATAGAAATATATAAGAAATTTATATATTTTTTAAGGAATGTTCCATAAATTTTCTCAAAGTTTCGTTCACGGAACATTTCGGTTCCGTTCCATCTCCTTGGTTGTATTAAATAATGATGGCATTAGTAAACTAAGTACCTGAATTAGATTAGGTAAAACATTTGAAATTAATAGATTGATAGAGGTAAACTTTTAGGCACCTAATGTGTTTAAATAAATTTACTTGGAGATTTTTCAAAATATCTCTTGGTATTTATTCTCAAGTGTGGGTAGCCATTATTTTACTATTATTATGCGAGTTATGGAATCATTTCCAATCATTTTTCTAAATAATGATATTTTTCTGCCAAAAGTATTATTTAAGTCAGAACTATCCATCATTAAAAATGCTAAAATATACCTAGTTATTTTGGGATCATTAAATTATAGTTTTTTTTTATGAATTATTCCATATCCATTGAACTAATAGGATGACAACAGCATAACTATAATATTCAAGTTTTATTTTTTAGGAGTATTATAAGATAATCCATTTACTTTTTTAAAAAGTGGGAGAATTATAGTATTAGTTTAATGATAAGTATTATTTGATAAATAATATTTTATAAAATTTTTATATTTTAGACATATCAAAAAAATTTGAGAAATTATCTGCCGAAAACCTTTTGATTTCATGTGTATATAAAATATAAAATAGATTTTTATTTTTTAAAAGACTGTACAGATATTAAATATCAGCAGATCGGCGCCGATATTGGACTTCTAAAAAATAGATCGGCCGATATTTCTTAAAAATTAAACCGATGCCGCATGACCAAAAATGGTTATTGCTATCCTTGTCGCAAGTAAGAGACTTCATGAGTCTCCCAAAAAATTTTCCTGATTTGACGGCCGACATCTTAACAAAAAATTTTAGCTAAATCCCCATATGTTGTTAAAGTAGATCAGATAATTAATACAAATATGTAATTTGATGAATTTAAGATTCTTAGATCGAATAACTTATAAAAATTCATATCCCAGATCCATGATAAGTTCATTGAATGTTGATCTAGCCAAAGAGTAAAAACTCGAAATAAGGTAATCAATAGTTTTTAATAAATCCTAATCTTCTTGGGTTATAGAAATCGGAATTCGGTTGTGGTTGCAGCAGATTTTGACAATTCCGTTCTATTTATATTTAAAAATGGATGGAGAACTGATAGATGGTCGATAACTGTCTACTTGTAGGTGGCTAGTGAAAGAATTGAGATAGACACTGGCGATCTTAAACCAAGATCGCAATGAGTGGATGTAAGGGTGTGGCTTGATGCCAAGCTATGTCAGTAGACTAGATGTTTAAGTAATCAATAATAGCTTTTATTCTGGTCTCGTATCTTACTAAATACGATTTCTATTAAAATATTGGTCTCGATCTTACTGACTAAAGGATTTTAGGAACATTAAAAAGATTCTTAATTTTAAAAAACCTTGTGAGCTAATAGTCAAGGAAGGATTCATTTTAAATTTTTAAAAATATCATCTGTATTGCCAAAGAAATTTATTGACTCCTCACCAATGAGAACCCAAAGTGATAAATTTTTTAACGAGGTATTTTTAAAATAAAAAACCATATTGATTTCGCATCTGTTTTACTTTGGTTAATTACAAGGCCAAGATTATCGCCAGAATCCTTTATAATATTAATTGCCTTTTCTACTTCTTTAGAATTGCCAGAGATGACTTCTTAATCAATGTATTATAGAGGTAGGGGCAACGAACAATCATTTTTCATTTTCGTTATCAACTCGTGAATTACCAGACAAAATAATATGGAGCCCAGAGGGTCACCCTGCTGAATATATGGGCCAAATATTGAACGGGATGGTTTCTTGTAGATGAAAAGATGTAGATGGTAAAAACTAGAAAATATTTTTTGAACTATGAAATGAATATTTTCATGTGATTGATATTGTAAATAGTGCTAAAGTCGATTTAACTAGATGTAATTCTGGTATGTCCCCATTTATAATCTTGTTTAATTTTATCCAAATATTGAGTGTTCAGGATAGGAGTAGCTAAATCTTGTAGAAAGAGAGGTTTAACGCCTTCGCGAGTGAAAATTGGATGAGTTTTTAGTTTCAATAATTGTTATAACCTCAGTTATTTGGAAATGCTTTAACAGCTTTTGGTAGGATACTATATTCAAAAAAAATTATACATTAAATAATGCATTGTTTAAATATTTTTCGAATGATCATCTTGGCTCCGAATCACACCCATTAGTTACGCCACAGATCTACACACTTAGAAATTTGATAGAAAACTAAATTTGCATTTTCAATAAGATCTTTAAAATAAAATAAAACAATTCATATTTCTTACCGTTTTAAAAATAGGATGGTTATTTTTTTGAATAATAGATCACCTGTAAATTTTTTTAATGTTAATAAATACACAAGTGGTTATTCAATTAAATAGGTAATAATTCGTTATCATCGGATATGAATATAATTATTCATATTCAAAAAATATAAATCATGCATTGGATTCGAATATTAACTGTGTCTAGTGTTATTAGTAATTGTAGAACTTGTTAAAGGTAAACAAATCGACTCCCTCCGCTTGAACTATCCTTCTCCGCCAATAAGACTAATATTTTTTAGATCCTAATGTTGCTGCTGGTGCAAACCCAAGAATAATACAAGATTTATTAATAAGAATAAATTAAACATTTGGAATCTTATAAAATTGTCCTTTCTCTCAATTTTTCTAATTACACATCATCATATTGATTATTTACAAGTCAAAAAGTATAATACTATAGGAGGTGAAACTGCTTAACCATCGTTAATATAATTCACAAAAACTAAAATAACTAAGAAAAATAACACAAAATAATATACAAAAAATTAGCAAACTTAAATATTAATAAGACTGATCAGGCCAAAGACTAGTCTGAACTGTGGTCCTGAAAAAGATCGGTCCTGTCGGGATTGGTTCAATTAATTATGGCCTGGGACATAAATGGATAGAATTTCAACGGAATAAGTCTAATAGTTGATGTTGCTCTTTATATTTCTAAAGAATTTAAGGGTATAGTCGACAAGTCGGCCCGAAGCCAGGTCGGGCATAAAAATTATATAATAATTTGGGCAGGGTTGTGGAGCCTAATTTTTTTTTAAAAGGCCGGACTTATATAAAAAAAACTTTTTTAATTTCGCATAAATGATATTATTTGTGTAAATAGTAATTTAAAATTTAGCTCTTTCTTTTGAGAGAATGTCTTGTAACGGAGATAATTGATTAAAAAAATGTCAAAATTTTTAGAAATGTCTGTACCTGTGTCTGATTATAATCAGTGTAGGTAAATAGGTGGTTTGCATATATCTATTTTGAGCTTTAAGTTAATATGTTATATCTCAAATGGATTTAAGCTTATAAAAGGTATGCGATGCCAGAACTTTATTTAATATTTGTCATATTATTTTTTAAGTATAATTAAATATTAACCATTATAATCCATTTTTAATTCGTAATAGAATAAATTTTATTAAATTAATACATATATGCAATATTTGTTTAAACAAATAATTATTGAAAAATACTGATTCAACATAATAAACCGATAATGGCCTTTAAAGGTAATTTGTACAACAATTTCCTATTAACAACAATAAATTGTTAAATTGGTTATAAGATTATAGATATGAAAAACGAATTTATTATTTAAAACTGGAGCGTTCTAGTGACCGAGCGTTTCTATGTTAATTTAAGCAATATTTGAAGATTACCATTGAATGGCTCAAGTGCCCCAATTATGCCTAAATTGACGCTTGGAACTTAAAAAAACCATTTTATTATATTCTTTGGTTTATTTATACATTAGTACAAAACTGGAAGTTTTCAATTATACTACTATAAAAATATAAAATAATTGAAAGTTATGTTGGAAAAGTAAAAAAAAATTAATGTATGTATATAGAGTTCATAAAGCTTCTCGTTTTTTAATAGCGGAAGTCAGATCATCCCTCAAGGCTTCTTTATCTTTTTCGATTGCGATTTTGTTGACATTTCTAAGCGCATTTACGATATCCATAGTTTTACCAAAATAAACTTCGTTCAAAGTATTTCTAATTTTATTTTCCATTTCCTTGGATTAGAATGTTAAATAATTAAAATAAATAATCATTTTTTAAACGTTACGTATGCAGCCTTTCTATGTATAATATGTAAGTTATCATATTTGAAATGTTTGATATTTTAATACCTCAGAATTATAAAATTTAATATTTATAAGCATAACTTCGTTATATTAGGCCCGGATCATAAAAGAAACCTTCATTTTAATTGTTCATACTGTTGAAACATGTAAAAATTAAAGCATAGTTATTTATACATAAAACAAAATAAGATAGAGAAAAAAATATATTAAAAAAACAAATTAACTTTGGATGTACCGATATTTTTATTGGATCGGGCCGATATTTCACCCATTTTAAATATCGGTTATCGGCCAATAAAATAAAATTTTCCGATCCGATCCGATATAAAATGGCGTCTTTAACAAAAATAAAATGTTATAAAAAAAGTTATATCTAAAATCATTTATTTATATATAAAATCAAATTAAATAATTAATTAATAAACATTCTGCCATATTATTATTTTTTTGGGCATTCTGTTTATAAAAGTGTGCAATAATCTCTTCAGAATCTGTTTTTAGTGAAGCTGGTGATATTGATAGTTACCATACCATCGCTGTAGGCCAGGCGCGTACGCAGGAATTTGGTCTAGGGGGGGGATAATAAAATTTTTTAAGAAATATTATTGTTTTTAAAAATATCAAGCATACATTTATTAGGACTAATAACTATTTCTTATACACAATTTTAAATTAATGTGAATTATAAAAAAATTATATGTAAAGAATCACTTAAATGACCCAAAATAGAAATTTGAATTTTTTGAGCTTTAAAATTTATATATAAAGTATAAAAAATTTAAATGTTAGAAATATAAATTAATACACAAAAAGCTTAAGGAATAATTGTATTTTGTATGTTATAATTTACAATGTAAAATCCAATCTTCGTTGGGATTGAGCTATTTTTTCAATTATCTCATCCTTGCTTGTTGTCAAATGCATATGAATATTCAAAAGATCCAAACCTTTCAATCTACTTTCAAAAGTTGTACTTCTTGGTATGTTTTTCAGAGACCTGCAGGCCCGGCCCCCAAGCCGGATCGTATTGCCGGGTCCGAAATTTTTAAAAAAAAACACCAGGGCTGAGCCTGAATTTTAAAAAAAAAACATCTAGGCCGGGCCTGAAAATTTTTTTAAAAAAATATCCAAGCCGGACTGTATATTTTAAAACAGCCTATATTTGAAATCGTTATTATTAGCTATAAAAATCAAAAATAATAATTTATTTTTAAAAAATCCAGGTCGGGCCTGAAAATTTTATTTTAAAAAAGGCCGGGTCGGGCCTGAAAATTGAGCTTAGCCGTAAAAATCTTTAAAAAAATCCGGGTCGTGCCCTGCAAATGGTACCTTTGCAGGGCTCTGTTATTCTTCTTAAAAAAGAGAATGTTCTCTCATTAGTTTACTATTGGGAAGAGTTGCTAAAACCCTTTTAATACATTGGGAATATAATCTAAAATGTGTTTAAAATAATGCAGAGCATCCATAGCATTTTTTGGGACTGTATCAACCATAGTTAATCTTATAAACATAGTTAATCAGTTAATAAGGCATCATAAGATACTTTAACATCTTCATGATAAAAATCCAACAAATATTTTTTTTCTATCACCATCTGAAAAAGGTTGGAAAGGCTTTTATGAAAATAATATTTGCAGATTGGTAAGTGCTGCATAATGAATTAAAAACCATTCATTTATTTGGTTTATAAATGTATTTGTATCTAAGATATACTCTTCTACTGATCCTATATTAATGTTTTAACTATGAGCTTGCCTTGCTGCAAGTCGAGTGAGACAAATATTAAACACGTAAACCTCTGCTTTTGACTTAACAGTAACACATAAAATATGAAATTCTTCATAAACATTAGCCCTAATTTCCTTGAATTCTAATAAAATGCTCTCCGCTATTCTCATCTTCTTAATCAAGTTATCATGTTTTTGAAAAGTAATACATAAAATAGTTGTACATTCTAATGAGAAAAAAAATTTGGAATAAGCATTGAATCCAATAATTTTCTTGCTTCTAAGGAAAAATTTCTTTCAGGCCATTGTGATATGTCAGTAATAGCAAATAATCGGCTCTTCTAACTCCATAAAAGCTGTTACTGCTTTGATGGTGGAGACTCTATCTCGTAGGACAAGGTTGCAATTTCTTTCTCCCTGTTGGACAATTTCAGAATAATTATTATTTGACTAGAAATTTAAAAATGGTAGATAAATATTACGCCACTAAAAATTTGAAAATAATAAGATAATATTACGTCGGAGAACTTTAAATCGAAATTAATTGATAAACTTAGTGATGAATGTGATAATAAATGTAATTAAATATATATTTAATATGAGATAGGAATAAATATACAAATATAAATTAATATAGTACTATGTAAATTTAATTCAAAACATTTCCATATTTATTAATTTATTTGAAAATAAAATTATTTGACTTGTAAAAAGTTGTTAAAATAACATATTTATAAATTCTTATCAATTTTTACAAGTTAAAATTCTTATTTACAAACGAATTAAAAAATATTGAAATGTTTTAAATTAAATCTGCACAACATTCTAAACAAAAATATTTTTGAAAAATATATCCGGCATCTTCATTTTTTGGCTTTGGGGGGGGGAGGTATTTGTCCCCCTGTCCCCCCTCCCGCTGCGTACGCCAATGCTGTAGGCTGACCTCTGATAAATTGGAAATTTTGGTATTCCTAAAAAGAAATCTTCGCTATATTAATGTTAAATAAATATTTATTTCAAATTTCATAATATAATTGTTTATTACTTAATATGTATATAGATTAATGTTATTACTTATTATATAAAAGTGATTTAACAATAAAAATATTTTATATACTTTTAGAATTGCAATTGAATTGAATATAAACTATAACTGATCATTATAATATATGTAAATAACATAAGTTGTGACAGTGCGTATCCAGGATTTTCTTATAGGGGGGGAAAATTTTTTTGGAGCTATTCTATTAAATTATGAATAATTTAATAATAATTATATTTCTATTTTTAACTATTATTTACTAATTCGTGCTTATGGATAGGATATTACAAGCCTCTTTTTTATTATTTCAAGTTAGGTATATTATATTTAATAAACTTTTTTTAAATGTAAAGGTTTATTTATATGTAAAGTTGAAATAAAGTGTAATGTCATTTTTTTTATAAAATTTGCTTTAAAAACTAGCCTCAGCTTAAATTCTCATACAATATAAGTAGAATATAATTTTTTTTATTGAAAATACTAATAGTAGTTTAAAATATTGACTAGAAAATAATTAAATTAACAAGTTTTTTTTAACTTCTTATCAAATACAAGATTTTTAATTATTTCGTTTGTCTTTGGAACCAAATCTCTGTGTATATTTAGCAGAGCTAACCCATTTAGCCGAGATTCAGTACTTCGTAAATATGTTTTCAACCTTCTCAAGTTGGAAAAAGTCCTTTCATTCGTACATGTTGTAATAGGCAAACATGCAAGAATATAAAACAACTTCGAAATATTAGGAAATTGAGCCATGGTTTCTTTACACCGATTGAGCGCATCAATAGCATGCTCAGGTAAAAAAGCTAAACAAATATTTATACCACAATTCGAATTCACTGATTAAATTTATTTCAGTATCAATCTCATAGGAATAAAATTTTTCTAAATATTTAATTTTACCAATAGTGGCATTAGAAAATGAAGAAGGATCTTTGGGTAATAAAACTTGAAGATTGCTAAAGACTTGTTTTTTTATCTAAAACCCGTACTTTTATTTGCTATAAAAAAGTATCTAAGAATGGGATGAAAATGGATATTTTAGAATATTCTTCAGTTGAGCCAATATTTATTTTCATCTCAAAAATGGCCTAGGTGCTAGACGAGGTTTAATTAGTATTATATCATAAAATTTAGTCTTCGATTCAACGTCTAGATAAATATTATGAAAATATTTATCTACATTCATTCTTATTGTATCTACCTGTTCATGTATATTTTCCGCCAAATCAATAACTTGAACCAAATCTAAATTTGGTTTTTGTAAATTTCTACAAAGTAGTGAGCTAAAAATAATTTATTGATGCAACTAGCAGCAATGATAAACTCTGATTGATCAATTGAATTCAAAAATGATATCGCTGCTAACGACACATTACTTTTTTTCATGCTCAGCCTTATTTATAAATTATCGTTTGATTTCAATCTCTTTGACTAAATATTTTTACATTTTATTAATATTTTTGAATAATATGTTGGAAAATTGATATTCAAATATTTGTAAAATTTTGATTTGTGGGGGGGGGGGTCTGAGGGGTGGGGGTAAAATTTTTATTAGCTTAAAATGATATTTATGAAAATAGTCAAATTTGCGATGGGGGGGGGAAATTCCCCCTTTACCCCCCATTGGTTACGCGCCTGAGTTGTGATATAGTTAAATTATTGTTATACTAATAAAAAGTATATTAAAAATTAAAACCGTTGTATCTTTACAGAATACAAAATTAGATATGATATAGGATGGGTAATTGGATATCAATTTAATATCGAGAATATCGGATCGGCCTCCAAAAAGTGATATCGGTAGTCGGTACACTTCTAAAATTAACTAATTTAATTAAGAACAAGCAAATTTATTTAAATATGTAACTTATATAAACGGCGAGTAGCAGTGGCTCCTAAAACAGGGGGGGGGGAGGAATTAAAGCAATTGCTTCATAATGAGGGATACACACCTTTAAGTATGAAAATACAACCACTATGATGGGGGTGTTTTTAATTATCACAAAATTTTAAATTTTCATAAAAAAGAATGTTTTTGCGCATTTCAATTTCTCATATTGTTTTTCCTTCATAACCGAAAAAAGCCGTTCAAAAAATTATTATATAAAGCATGAGAGGATCCAATAGAATGAGAATGCTTTAGTGATCTGCATCGGGCCTAATTTTTCAAGACCGGCGCGAAATTTTTTTTAAAAAGTTATGCCAGCTCCGAACCCGAAATTTTTTTAAAAATATTAGGCCTGGCCCGGCCAGAACCTGATTATTTTAAATATAATTAGGCCCGAGCCCGACCCGAAGCCCGTTCGAGCCGGGCCAAATTCGGGCCGGGCCTAACTTTGCAGATCTCTAGCTTGGATACCTTTCTTAGTTTTGGGGATTTAAGCGTCGAACAAGTGATATGTAAACTAAAAAATATATAATTGCTTAATAAACCATTGCGCATCCAAAAATATAAGGGATAATAATGAGCAGAGAAAAAACACGGAAATTTCAATTTTAGCGAGATAAAAAAATCAAAAATATTACAAGAAACAAAATAGCAAGGTAGTATTTTTGTTAAATATATAATATTAGTGTCTAGTTCTACTAATCTCAAAGGGTATTAAGCAGGATTTAAGAAAAAAAGAAGTAAACTCCTCTCTGCCTGCTATTTAAAAAATTATCTACTTACTTCTTTTTATCATTGCCGTTTTTAGATTTTTTGTATAGTATTCAACATTTATTATATAATATATCGTTCGTTAAATATTTTTTAAACATAGTCAGCCCCGTGTCGGGATTAAAAAGATTCGGGCAGGGCACAGGATAAAAAATAAAATATAAATGTTTTCGCTTTTGTATAAGGTGTTTTCGCTTTTGTATAAGGTGTTTTTATTTTATTTAACATTCATAAAAATGCGTTTAATTTATATTTTTCAATTAAAAATTTTGGGCCTGGCCAAAAATTAAATTTTAAGGCCAAACTAAAAGTTAATAAAAATTAGGGGCCGGGTCAAAAAAAAATTGAAATAAGAGAGCTTTGGTTTGAAATACCGATATATAATAAAATTTTATTTTCGTAATAATAATTAAAGTCTAATATAAATAAGATCCATATATATATATATAATATATAAATGAATCTACAACAAAATGATAAAATTATTAAAATGGTCAAAGATAATTAAAAAAATATATCGATTTTCAAATCAAATATATTTAAAAAAATGCAGTTAGTTACTTATATTTCTTCTTAAATCTCTTGTTATTTCAATTACTAATTTTATAAAAATAGTGTGGATGCTAAATGTATCTTAATCTTTTGATATTTATAAATTTTAAATAAATAAAATAAAACTATAAAAAATTTTAATGGCAAAGTCGTCAGCGAGTTTACTATAACGAGGTTATACTTTATTTATAAAAAATATATATGATATTAATGAATAACTTCAATTATCCTGCCCATGTTAACAATATGATAGGTATAATCCGGTACAGGAGCATCACTTTCCATCTAATAAATAACAAGGTATATCATATTGTAAATATAATCAAATGAAGAAAAAATATGCAAATAGGTTTTTATAATATATAACCTGTCTAGTTAAACTGCCTCCTAAGATTACAGTTCCACTATCCTCCTTACTTGTTTGAAGCCATAGCATCACAGTAGAAGTGAGTTTATATTTAGCTGATTGAAGCTTTGGTTTTTCCTAAGTAACACATTAAAATATATCATGTATGCTATTATTACAACAGCATGTATAAATTAAATCTCTATTTGACCTGATCACCCAATATTGATTCGGCATTATCAGAAAGGTTTTGGGTAAAAATGAAAAAATATTGGATTGGTAAAAAAAAATTTGATAATTTTACCATATATTGGTAATATATGAAGGTAATGTTTAGAAAAAGGGAAACAAGTAATACTGGGAATTATAAATCTTTCATTCGTTTTTCAATAATTTAATTTGAATAAAAAAGATTCAATGAATTTTTTTAATTATTTCTTAGAAAAGGATGTTTTGTTATTAGTGATTATATATATTAAAAATCTAATAAACCTTCTACATATTTTAGATTAGTAGGTGTAATGTAATAACTTTAAATAAATTGTATTTTGTTTAAGGATACAATTTATGCTAATTGATTGATTATCCTAAATGTACTTTCGATGAAGATATAAATATTATTGATAAATTTAAATTATCTTTTGATCAGGGTTTCGAACCGTTAAGTATAGCGGTTCGGTTCGTTTCGGTTTTTAGTTTAAAATTTATAGGTTTTGTTCCATTTCGGTTTTTTGAAAAAATTCATATCGGTTCCGTTTATAACGGTTCTTTTCGGTTTGTTCCGGTTTTTATAACCATATATATTAATCTTAGAGAAAAATCTTTTTAATTTATATTTTTATAATTTCTTATTTATTTTAACCATGATAATCTAATAGATATTTTTATTAAACTTAGTAAATATACATTAGACAAATTAATTTTTATTTATTTCATAAATAAAGAAGATTAACAAACATGCACAAATACAATGAAGAATAAAATAACGCATAAATATAATGAAATTTATACTATTTATGTTTAATAAGAGAATTAGAACGGATTAAAATATTTTCTAATATTTCAGGATTTAATTTAGTTCTCTGAGCAGAGAGCATAATCTAAAGCTAAAAAAAATGCTCTTTCTAAGGATACCTGCGTAGCTGGAACTGCTAGCACAGTTATAGCTAACTTATAAAGTTATGACATGCTGTTCTTTACATTTTCCCAATAGTTCAAAAGATTAGTATCTTTTTCTAATCTCTATATATTATCAGATGACCGAATTTTATATTCTATTTCTATACATTTATAATAATTTTCTATGCCCTGAGAATTATTCTTATTAAGGCTTTAATGCGATTTTAATAAATCTTCAAAATCAACATCTAAATTATCTTTCGAATGTGAACACGTAGGCGTAGTATCTAGAATTTCAATATTATGATTATTTAAATTTTGTAAAGTTCCAAGTTTTAGAAAAATGTTTTTTGGCAATCTCTTTTTAGATTATATCTTATCTAATTAACTGATAATTTGCCTAATCTCTATTAAAATTTGAAAAGAAATCACGAATTTAAAAATTGCCCCCAAGGAAAATTCAAATTTAGGTTAATAATTTAAAATTAATAATTTTTTTAAAACCGTTTTGAACCGATTTAAAATATTTAAAACAGTTTGGTTAGCTCTTTTTATATTTTCTTTATAAAGGTGGTTACGGTTCAGAAAATTTTAACGGTTCATTCCAGTTTGGCGGTTGAGTTCGAAACCTTCCTAATCTTCACCACATTGGCTACGATTAAGTTTAAGAGACGTATTAAAAAGTGACGAAGGATATTATACTATGTCTAACGAAAACTCGAAGATAGTTTAAAAGAAAAACGAAGAAACATTAACATCTAGTCAATTCCATATTCCAGAATTCTTTAAATCGAAAGATATTCATGACTATATACATAATTTAGAATTCATGATTAAAGTAAAAAATATTGTCGATCATAATTAAAAAAATATATTTGTTACAAGCGGTACGGATAACTTAATTAAAATAAAAAATTTCCATTATCCAATTAACTTTACTTGATAGTTTGGAGAAAATATATAAGGATATCTCTAGTATTTTCCTGCATCGAAATAATTTTTATCCTTAAAAAAAGGCGGAGAAACTATTATAGATTTTTCGATCAAAAAAAGTATTTCCTCACTCTGTAATAATTGCCTATTGATGAACTTTTAAGAGATATTTTTATCTTAGAAGTAGATCTTCCCGAGTTGGATAAAGATCTTCGGTAAACATATACCGAAGGCTACATCACTTTTGAAGAGATACTGTGCGTTTAGCGATCGCGCTTTCTTCCTTGGAAAAGGAAACTCAGGTAGAAGATAACAAAATCATTAAACATAAACAGGCGCAAAGTTTCAAAAACAAGTATTTTAGGAATAATAGTTATAATAACGGTAATAAATATAAATAATAATAGTAATAATGCCAACAAATTCAATCAATAATTATATTCCTAATAATTATAAATCTAGTTCTAAACCTAACTTCTTACCAAAACAAGTCATATGCTTTCGATGCGGCAAGGTAAACACATAGCAAAGATTATAGAACTCATGTTGATTCTACCACGGACACCTCGCCTGTCGTTTCCTAATAAAACTACCATTGATGCGAAGAATAATTGTGTATGGTTTACAATGGAATTCGATACGGTGTTACGTGCAGTGTGATAGATGAAGTTGCCTGGAGACGTATTGGTAGACCACTATCGCCTGCGTATAAACTAGTGGTTATAACAATATCAAAATCGAGAGATGGGTAAATGTACAGCTGTCGAAGCAAAAACATTTCTAAATTTTTACCTATTTGAGTAGTTAAAAAAGAGATTTCCTTATTTTTGGAATGTTTTCTTAGAGAATTCGATATAAAGCTTCCGAAAGAAGTTCGGAATAATATATATGAATGTTCCCACTTTAAATAGTATTGCATCGAAATTTCCTCAAGTTTCTTAAAAAAAATTAGAAAGAAATAATACTCCAACAAGCAGTTATCCGCATATAACTGAACACTACCGATAGCTTTACCAACAAGAAGAGTTCCATTTCCACGGCGTCAAACCGTTGAGCTGAGTTGGAGAGAATTTTAAACGAAGGCGCTATCGAAAAGGTGGACCCAACAACAACTCCAATCACTTGGGCTAAGTCAACAGTGGTTAATAAAGAAATCATGTGCCGTGCGGATATGCGGAGATTTTCATTTAACAATCAACAAATATTTGGCCATAGATAACGATTTACTACCAATTTTCGTCGACCTGACAAATAGGTTCGAGGGTGGCAAAATATTTTCCATAATCTATTTAAGGGATGCATTTTACAATTCAGAGTTAATCAAGAATGAGGACCTTTTAGTAATTCCGATTCATGTCCGTTATTACCAAGATGTAAGAATCCCTTTTGGGTTGACTAGGGCTCCGATAATATTTCAGTGCTCTATGCAAAACCTATTAAAGAAAATACCTATGGTTAGTGTATTTTTAGACGACGAAAGAATTGCGGGCGAGAATAATTTTGATCATGTAGATAATTTAGAAGTATTAAGAAGATTTGATAAGGCTGGACTGACAACGACGACCGATAAAATTAAAAATGAAGAAAAAAGTCAGTTACTTATTTGAGAATTCAGAATTCACCCTACAGAAGATATTATTATTGCCATAAAAAATTGTAAAACACAGTCAGATGTGAAAGTTTTACGTTCATTTCTTGAAATGGTGAATTACCATGAGTCGTATATATAAAATTTACATTCTATTTGTGCGCCTCAAACAGACTAAAGAGTAAAAATGTTAGTTGATAGGTCAGTTTAATATATTGAAATATTTAATAAAGTTAAAAATATATTATCAAAAGAGGATACAATAATTCCTTATTCAGGCGATATTCTTGTCGTGATTTCTTGTGACGCTTCCAAAGATGGTGTAGATGTTATTGCACACCGATTTCTTATTCGCCAGGAATTGCTTACGCATCGAGGACATTTCGGTGGCTGAAAAGAATTACTCCATCATTGATCGGGAGGTGATCATGTTCGCTATCGAGAAATTCCATCAATATTGTTATGGAAGACATTTTATATTAGTGGATCATAAACCTTTAAAATATATCTTATGTGATAAAAGAGACCTAACTAAAATAACAAATTACCGTTTAATATGGTGGGCGGCGAAGTTATTAAATTACGGCTATGAGATAATTCATAGACCTGGCAATCAAAACAAATGCAGATGCTCTGTCCTGTTTGGAAGTAGAAAGAAAAAACCAATGATGTTACAAAAAAATTTGAAGGTGAAATCAAGAATTAATAAAAATTAATTAAATGGAAAAATTATCTTTCACTCGCAATAAAGTCAAGTGAAACGAGCATTGATAACAATATGATGAAAGAGATTATAAATTAATTAAAAATCATTGTATATTGATAATACAAATAATTATTTGGAGATTTTATGAAAATTTATTTTTCTTAAAGATAATATTTCGTTCGAAAAAGGATTATTATTTTATAATGGTAGGATTATTATCCCTGATAATCTAAAAAGGGAGATTTTGAATGTTATTCTTCAAGGACATCCTGGAATAGTGGGGATGAAATCATTATATAGATACTATGTTTTTTGGATGAATCTTGAAAGTGATGTTGAAGAGTTCTTCCCGGTCTTCCTTCTTGACAACTCTTGCAGCATTCAGAGAAGTGCCGTTGTAGAATTGGAACATTCTTACCCGACCTTGGGAACGAATACACATTGACACATTGATTTGACAGGCCCCGAATCTGGAAAATTATGGTTAATTTGCATAGAAGCTTTGACCAAATGGGTAGATGTTGCAATTTTAACACATATTAATTCGGAGGTAATAAATAATCTGCGTAATTATTTCACTAGATGTGGGTTATCTCGTTACATTGTTTCAGATAACGGTACTTACTTTACTAGATCTGAATTCAAAATGTTTCTTTTTAAAAACAACATAAAATAGATCCATATAGCCTTAAATTGAATGGTTTGGCTGAGCGTTATATACGTACGATAAAAAAGCGTTTCTATGCTTGAAGGAGATGTGGGACTCCGGACCAGTTAAATTTAGCGAATGTTTTAATTACTCACCGAAATACTACTTAAGACAACTACCGGTAAATCTCCTACTGAAATGTTTTGAAGGCTGCTCAGGATGAGGTTAAATCTGTGGAAACTATCTACGAGAGAAAAGACTGAAAATATATTATGGAAACAAAAATATTATGATAGGAACGTTGAGCCCGGTGAATTTGAAGAGAAGCAAAAGGTTTGGGTAGAAAACCAAAGGACTGTGGGATGGCATACAGTGGTTCAACGGTAAAGTGTGATATTGTATTATATTGAGTCTGAGTGTATTGTAAAAAACAAGCATGCCGACCAACTGAGGGATGCTCATGTACAATAAGGAAATAAATACCTATAACAATGACGGAAGATTTGGACTATGTAGAACATAATGGAAATACAACTGTTAAAAAAAGAGTTACGAATACCTTGCTATGTCATCATGACAAAAAAAATTTTAGTGGGGAGAGTAATGTATTAACTTTAAATAAATTGTATTTTGTTTAAGGATAGAATTTTTAATAATTGATTGATTATCGTAAATGTACTTAAAATAGATATATAAACTTATTATTGTTAAATTAAATTATCTTTTAATTTTTTCATTTTGTTAAAATAAAATTTTATTTTATTCTTATATAACCTTTTATATCTTAAACATCAAAGTAGACAACTTAAAATTAAATGTATTAAACGTATGTAATGTGATTTGATATCCATTTTGATGAATTCCCTATAATATAATAAGAAAATATCCTTTATATAATAAATTTGTAGAGACATAGATTTCGCCAAAATATTTTGTTCTAATTACAAATTAGGTAAACTTTATATCTGAGGACTGCTTCGGTATTACTCAAACAAAATTTAAAAAATATTAAACCAAAAGGAAAGCAAGGTTAGGCTGTTACTTTAAAAAAATTAAGGTTACCATTATTCAAAGAAACAATATAACAGTTAAATAATCACCATTCTCAATACTACTCGACTCGCTTTCCTGTAAAATTGGAAAATGAGGTAAAATAAAGTCATCATATACCAAGGATATTGATTATTTAAAAATAATTATCAACTAGTGTACCTGTATTTCTATAACATGAATTGAGTCCCAGCATCCCATATTATGTTGGAAATTAGTTCCTGTTTTTTTTATTAGTATGGCACCTGCAAAAGATTGAGATTCAAGTTCCCATAAATAAACAGATGATATGCCTCCATCAAAATACCTAATAATATAATATATATAATGTTTTTATATTTATTTTATTTTTAATAAAAATTTTGAAAAAAAGTATACTAACATTTCCTTATAAACTTCAAAAGCTTGATTTGCAACAATTTCAAGTTCTCTTAGTTTATCAGATGGTAAGGTTCCATCAGCCAATGCAGGAGTATATGTATTAGACCAAGGAGATCTTCAAAAATCAATACGATTTAATAATAAATTTGTAAAATCGACATAATAAATTTGTAAAATCGACATAATAAATTTGTAAAATCGACAATATATTAACCATTTTTTATTTTGATTATATTTCTAATAATCAATATTAAATTTTTTTAAATATAATCTAAACAAAAGGTGTAGATAAATTAATAAAAAATGATCAATAGCTAAATAAGTTTCATAATAATTGTTATAAAGAATAAAATCCTTATAAAATCTTAATTATTATATATCATTTTCCTGAATTACGCAATATGATTAGTGTTGTTAAGGTAACTAGTTACATAAAAAAAATAGCTGTAATTATTTACTTTAAATATTAACAAAAATTTATTAAAATTGTGATAGCGTCTGATTAATTATTTAATTGACTGTATTATGTCCATCATGATTTGAGAAAAAAAATAAAAAATTTTGTCTTAGCAATTTAATAATTTTTTTCAATGATATAAGTCATGTCCATCATGATTTGAGAAAAAAAATAAAAAATTTTGTCTTAGCAATTTAATAATTTTTTTCAATGATATAAGTCTAATATGCTCCAAAATTTTATATTAGAAATAAGTGAAATACAATCTTATTTTTTTAATCTGTCAAAAAAGCATATTTCAATTAAATAAGAAAAATTATATGCTGTGAGGATAATAAACAATTTTATATTTATACTTGAACAGAATATTCATAAAACATAAGGAAAAAACTATTTATAGAGCAAGTCTAGTCCTAAAAAAAATTTAAAATAAAGGTCCAAATCAGAGAACTAAAAGGCTAGACCCATTTCAGCTGGTTAATATTTTTTGCACAAGTTGCCCAGTCAATTATTATAATGTTTGTCCAGCCTATCTGAGTTCAACCAGTTCATTAAAATTTTACAAGAAATTGGCCCAGCCTGTTAAAATTTTACAAAAGCCTAATTATTGTACAAATTTTACACAATCATATTTATATAATCTAATTGTTTCTCAATGTAAATTAAGGTTATATCTCTCCTCTATGGCTATTTCTACAACAACCATTTTATAAATCAATTTTGATATTTCATTAAATTAATTAATTAATTAAAGTTTTAAAATTTTTTGATGATATTTATACATTTTTTATATTGTATATTTAAAAAAAATTATAATTTAAATTGATTGACAAAGATAACAAATACAAATTGATGAATTCCAATATCATAAAAAAATGTATAAATAAATTAATTAATTTTTTGTAAATTTGCAATATTATTTATAGATTAGAATTTTAGCTAGTCAGTTTATAAAATACAGAAAAATAGGCATATTATTTACAAATAACAAAATTTTCTCTTGAAATTCAAAAAAAAATATTAAAATTTTAATTATTTGTTATGCAACAAGTAGTTGGCCTGACCCATTAAATTTATTTCCTATTATAATTTTTTAATTTTGTGAGTCAAGGTTTTGACTTCTAATCTTTATTGTTAATTTATAATTGGATCATATCATAAAAAACTTGTTAAATTTTTCTTGAATATAATATCTATTTTATAAATTTTGTATTTTAAAATACAAAGAAATAACAAATAAGTATATTATGGCATTAATAAAATATAAGCATAAAATTCAAAAAATTAATTAAAATTTTAATCCCTATTCCTTAAAAAATTATAGGACAGCATGATATTTTATTGATTTTAAGGCAAGTCTTGGAATTAAATTTTAATATATTTTTTAAATTTTAACTTATATTTTATTAATGCCATAATATACTTATTTCATTGTATTTTAAAATACAAAATTTATAAAATAGATAGTATATTCATGAAAAATTTAACAAGTTATTTATGATATTATTCAATTACAAATTAACAATAAAGATTAGAAGTCAAAACCCTGACTCACAAAATTAAAAAAAATTATAATGAAAAAATTATAGGACAGCAAGATATTTTATTGATTTTAAGGCAAGTCTGGGAATTAAAATGTTAACTTAGTCAAGCAGTTCTTAGAATGAAAAGAAATGTGGACATATCTGATCAATATTATTTTGTTCCAATAATCATGACCACTCTTACAACTTTAGATCTTCAATCTCAAAACCTTATCAAAAAACTGGGTCAACTAATTTTGGCAAAAAGAGAAGACCAAAAAGAAGAATTTTATCTTTATCAAAAATTTGCAATCCAGGTCATTAAATCAAATTTCCCTTGCCTTATTAACTCATTCCTCTCTTAATTGTGTTCAATTAAAATAATGCCACTTAATTTGTTATTTCTAATGCATCTTCTATAAAGGTTATTTCAATAAAAATATCACTCAAAAAATTGTTTGTTATTTCAAAGAATATTAATAAAATTATCAGAGATTTGAATGGCCTGAGCCAATTTTTTTATGTATGAATTGTCGTGCCTGGATTGTTATTTTTTGCATGAATTTCCCAGACCAACCCAAAAATTTTTTGCTCATCCTGACCTACTAATTTAAAAATGTCATTTGCCCAGTCTGGAGTATGACCTTTTGTTTGATACCAATTTTGAAAAGAGTTAATTGTTAAAGTATCCCATTCACTCCTGGTGTATTACCTATGATACTTAAATAAATTTAAAAATATTTTAAAAAAATAATTGTACATAAAAATAAATACCAATGTATCATAAAAATATATGAATCTTTCTATATATCATATTTTATAAATACCCAAATAGCATGTTTTTTTACACAAATTTATTATACCAATATTTCGAAAAATCATGTCAAGTCAAAATTCAAAAAGTTAAATAATATAAAAAATAAATAATTATTTATATTTTTGCTTAAATAATTAAAATCTTTATGTCTTTATGTATTGATTTTATGTTATAGATCTTAATATTAGATAGAAAAGAAATTTTCAGCAATATATTCAGAATATGATAATGATGATAAATTTCCTTTGTCATTTTTTCAGCAAAAGGTTTGGAGACATACTTCAGAGTTAATTTTTATTATAAGATTGATTGATTATATTTTATTTCTAGATTCAAGGATATGTCAGTGTATAATTAAGAATATTCCAATGCTTGTCAGAATATTTTAGCAAATATTTTATGGAACTAATTTATCAAACTGTAAGGCATATAACTAATATATGAAACTTTAAATAGGACAAGAGAAAGGTATCCTTTTAGATTTTATGATGTATGAAGGAAATGGAAATTTTACTGAATCTATTCAATATCCAACTCCTGATAAAATTGATGTTGGAGGTAGAATAGTTTTAAGATTATGTGATTTTACATTTAATACTTTCATATTTTTTGATAGATATTTTAATAGTTATTAATTAATAGAATGATTTAAGAAATGTCAGGACCAGGTCTGTTAAAGGTATCTAAACTTCTTACAGAAGTAGTATTCTCAATTGACCTATCTCTGAGTAAGGAATGTGGTTTAATTGATGTAAATCAGATAATGATATCTGCATCAACAAATGGTTTGATAATAGGCCAGTATACATGATCTCTATTATTTATGTATTAGAACCAATTGATTTTGTCAGCAATGGTTAAATGAAAAGTTATATTATGGTCAATTATCAATATTGTATCTTAAAATATGATAATATGGTTATCAAGAATAAAATAAAAATATGGAATATTCAGTTATTAATTACATCATTGATTTTTTGGAGGAGGCAGTGTGGCTATAGTATAAAAAGAACCGAGGCAAAGGATATATGGATTTTTATCAGTTAAATTCATGATAATATTCTTGACATTCATAGAGTGATGGTAAGATAAACCTAAAAGGAGAACAGTGGTTGTAATATCTAACCTGCCTTATAGGAAAGGTAAGAATCTTCATTTACCATAGTAGTGGATTAAATGACCAGACCCAAAGCAGACTCAAAACTTGTAATAAATAACCATTTATTAAATGTAAATATTGAGATATTTTTTATGTATTAATATAATAATAAATAATCAAATTGTTTTTTTTTTATTTTCATAATTAAAAAATTGTAACTCACATAATATCATATATGATATACCTCATATAATGTTTTCTATATATCATTTAAATAAATCATTAAAAATCTATTTTAGAATGTACCTTCTGACAATTTTATCAATTTTTTTGAAAAAAAAATTGTCATTTTGTTTCAGGTCTGAGTGGGGTATAATAAAAAAATATAAACATAAATCCTCATGAAATTAAATATAATCAGAGTTGCTAAAGTATCTAGATACTTAAAAATGTGGTATCTGTATCTAGATAGATTTTTTATTAAAGTATCTGTATCTAGATATTATTTTAGAGGTATCTGTATCTGTTTTTAGATACTTTTTAAGATACATTTTGATATACTTTTATTTAATGTTTTTTTATATAATAAATAAAAATACTTGAGTGTAAAATTTATTTTATTTCATATGAGAATATAAATTAATATTAATATATATATTAAAAAATTATATATATATATATGTAAAATATTAAAACTTATATATAAAAAAGAATATATAAATATTAATTAAATATTATGTCCAAGTTATCAATAACAAGCAAATTCTGATATTACAATCCATCTCAATGAATTTGCAATTTTTAATTGCAATGGAATTGGTATTTTATTTTATTCTATTATATTAATTTTTAAGATTAATATTGATGACGAAAATGACGACATTCCATGGCCAATTTATAGACCATATTATTTTAAAATCATATCTCAAAATAAAGAAAACAAATCTGTTAGTAAAATGTTTGCCATGTCCAAAAAATATGAAAATTTCAGTTGGCATTACCTCAACTTGCAACATTGTAAAACATTTAAGGGTATAGATACTAAATAAATGTTTACATTTTAAATTTTAAGAGAAAACATCAAACACTCTTAATCCAAATAAAAAAGGGGAAGGGGAAAAAATCTATTAAAGAAAATATTGAACTGGGCTCATTGTCTATTGATTTTTTTTCAAGAGACCTCAGACTTTAACCCAAACCATTTTAGATTATTTAATATCTGATTTTATTATAGATAGCATTCAGCCATTTTCAATAGTTGCAAATCCATCATTTATAGAAATGATCAAAACATTAGCTCCACAAAAAAATATAATTTGCAGACAGACAGTGGTTGCTAGAATTTCCCAAAGATGGGAGAATGAAAAGAAAGAAATCATTAAAAGTCTAATAGAACCATCGTTAATAATATGCACAACAGCAGATTGTTGGAGTGCCTATCGCCGGTAAACATATTTCCCAGCTCATTATTAAATTGAAAAATTTTAAACAAATGAACCTGAAATTTTGTTTACCACTCTTAAATGCCTTACTTAAAGGAATTGAAGATATGTAAATTAATAATAAATTAATCAGTATTTAATAATTCTAGGTTTATTGGGACAATTTTTGAAGATGAAAATATTTTGGCAACTATGCTTCATCCTTTTTTTAAACTAGATTAAACATGGTTGCAAATGGATGAAAATTTTAATAAAAAAAAAACAATTAATACAAAGATTGAGGAATCATCAAAGTCTTCAAATGAGTGCAAATTAACCTGTGGAAAAAAAATCAATAATTTAATATCCAATTTTTTTCAGTATACCACAGCAGGAGATATGATTGTTAATGATTTAAATTCTTAATCAACAAATTTTAAATAGTTTTTTCAAAAATGAATGCCAAGATTTCAGTATTTTTAAACAATATACTGATATAAAAATGTTAAACATTAAATATAACACCACAATCCCTTCCAGTGCCCTTGTTGAAAGACTTTTTAGTATAGCTAAAAATGTCTTTACATATAAACAAAGATGTCTTAAACCAAAATTTTGAAAATATTTTATTACTGAAATCTAATAATTATTTATAAACATTTATCATATATTATATTATTTTATTAATGATATATACAAATTATTTATATTAATCATATATTATATTAATAAAATCATTATTTTAGTTATATTTTGATAAATGTGATATCGAGTCAATAAATTTTTTAGATCATTTCATGAATTTTCACAATAGAATCCTAATTTAGGTTTATTCGAACCTTATCTAAGAGTATAATAAAAAATGTATCTATACCTAGATACATTTTAAATTGTATCTGTATCAAGATAACTTTTTAGAAGCTGTATCTAGATAAATTTTTAGACTATGTATCTGTATCTGATCCATTTAAAAAGTATCTTTTAGCAACTATGAATATTATATTGTAATATAGTTAGATTGAGTGTTACACCTCATTTACCATTTAAAAATAAATTGTACAAATATTTTAGCATAATTTTTTACGAGTTTTTCTATACGCCTAAGGTTAATATCTGCAAAATTTCATAGATTTCATATTATATGATTAGTCTTTTTAATGTTTCATTTTAACACCTTACTTCATGAGTCATATTTTACAATATAAATTTTGTATAGAAGATAAATAATTCCCCATTATTAATTTTTTTATAACAAATTATAAATATTTCAAGTTTATAGTGATTAAAAGATGCTTAGTAATTAATCAATTTATACAATACCATTTAAAATGGATTGTTTGAGTTTTGCATGAAATATATTAGCTCTCACTATTAAAATGTTGTAAGATGTGTGCAAAATTTTAACTTGGGATCTACAAACCCTTTTGATATATGTAATAAGTTGGCGAGAGAAAAAGACCCCATCTTAGCTTTACTATAGAAAATTAAAAAATTTAAATTTTTATTTAAGTTCCATTGATAGTAAATTGCAAATTAGCTTGTATAATAAAAAAAACTTTATCAAAAATGGTTAGTTATATAAATAATTTATAAATATAAATAATTACTTTGAAAAAACTTAACTTGTTATTTTTTAACGATGTAACTTGTTTTCAAAAAAAACTTTAACAGCACTAATGATTATTTCAATTTTATTAATGTTTTAATTTAATATATATTATATTGATCCTTTAATCACTATAAAAATAATTAAATTATTCATTTTTTTAAAAAAAATTTAACCTATAAGAGTCTCCATCCCTATTATAATCACAAAGCAAAAATTCTTTTCCTGATGTAGGATCTTTAGCTATTTTTAATGGTTGATCAACAGATGATAGAAGTTCTTCACATAGATGGGGGACCTTTGAAATAAGTAATAACATGGCTTAACGTTTAATATTTTATACTAAATCAATAAGATCGGATAAATTTTTTTCGACTTGTTGAGGCGGTAATCTTCTCATTAAATCAAGCGCCGATTCTAATTTTCTATCCATTCTCGTGTGTAAAAACTTACTTATACATTTTTGTTAAAAAGAACACATTTTTGAAATATATATAAATAGTTCGCTAGGTAAAAAGGTATATATATATTTTTTGTAATTATTAATTGATCATATTATGAACACTTTTGAAGAATGTAAAATATAATATACTAGATGATAACCCGTCAAGAATGACGTGGAATCAGAATTATCTTCTTTAATAAACGATTTTTATTTTGGAAAAACCCTCAGATGGCAGATTCAATAATTGTTGTCAAAAGGATATTTAAGGATTATTATAATAGATAGATCCAGCACATACATTTAATATACAGATTTTGATAGCCCGTCAAGAATGAAAAGGGAATAAGAATTTTCTTCTTTATTCAATGATGGATGAATAATAAATTTTACCTTTATTTGATGATAAATGAATCAGAAATTTTCTCGAAATAAATTGTAACTTGTATAATGTCATTAACACTTATAATGTTCTAGCAAGAATATATTTTTTATATTATAAATTACAAATACAAATGAATAAAAATTTAGTTGAAAAGATTTTTTATTGTGCATATTAATTAAAATTACTAACCATATACTTCATAACAATGTCGTCACGGGGGGGGGGGGGGGGGGGGGGTGGCAGGAGCTTGAGCCCCCTGAAAAATTTGAATAGTCCCCAAAAAAATTTTTTAATGGCTCCTTAATATCCCCCTGAACTAAAAATAAATTTTTTTGATAGCCCCCTTAATGATTTCTATTATAAATCTAATAAGTATTATATATAGATTTGATTTTATTATTTAAAAATTAATAGTGTAGTAAAGGAGTAATTTATTCTAATATTTTATTTACATATTATGTGTTATATTTGTCAGTTACTAATGATTATATATATGGAAATTTTATTAAAGCCAATTGTATAATTGGCGACGGAGAAAAGGAGCCATTTGGTTTTATCAAAAACTATGGAAAATTATTGGAAAATATCATTTCAATGGTAATAAACTATGGTATTATTTGGAAAATATATTAATAGTATATGAATTTATTATTATGCAATCTTGTCTTGAAATATGAATTATGAAAAACAATAATTGAGATTATACTATGAAATTCCAGAAGAATGAATGCACACAATTATACATGAAAAGGATAACTGATAGAACCTGGCTTATTTTGACATTGTGAAAATGGATACTGATAAATATACCTGACTAATTAAGATCATAGATATAAGGATGTTGGGCTCTCAAATCACTTGACCTATGCAAAACTATTAAGGGTTGTGTTAGCCAGATGTAGCCGTATATGGGTTAAGGAACTACTTCTTATACGATTTATGGATTTAAATTACCTCATGGGCCATTAAAGGATGATAGCGATCTCTTGACCAGCTCTAAAATAATAGTGACCTATTTAAAGATGACAGTGATCTCTTGGCCCGCTCAAGGATAATGATGATCTCGTCGGCCTTTCAAGTACGATGTCTACCAATAAACTCGATAGCGATACTCCTGTGGGAGATTGATTCTCGAATGGGAGATCAAGGCACAATGACTCGATAACGATTCTCCGGTGGGAGATCAAGACACTAAACTCGATAGCGATACTCCGGTGGGAGATCAAGGCATAATGGCTCGATAACGATTTTCCGGTGGGAGATCCATCGATATTGATACTCCGGTGGGAGATCAATCAACAAGGGAAAGGTTATTGATATAGGTAAGATCAATCTACAAGGGAAACGATATTGATACTCTAGGTGAGATCAATCATCAAGAAAAACGATATTGATACTCTAGGTGAGATCAATCAACAAGGAAAACTATATTGATACTCTAGGTGAGATCAATGAACAAGGAAAACGATATTGATACATTAGGTGAGATCAATCAAGAAGGAAAACGATATTGATACTCTAGGTGAGATCAATCAACAAGGAAAACGATATTGATACTTTAGGCGAGATCAATCTTACCAAGGCAGCGGTAAATGGAGACCAAAGACTAGGATGTTTTAGGAGAAATTTTAAGTTGTGTTTCCTTTCAATTAATGAAGAGGAAATGTAGTAAAGGAGTAATTGATTGTAACATTTTATTTACATATTATGTGTTATATTTGTCAGTTGCTAATGATTATATATATGAATATTTTATTATATGTTTTATAATGTATGATGAGCAGAGTTGGGCAGTACCGCGAATACTTGTATCTAAGATACAAGATCCTTTTGTATCTTGTACTCATTGTACTCAGTATCTTATTGACATTTTTAATAAGATACTAGTATCTGTATCTAAGATCCTTTATTTTGAAAAGAATCTTGTATTTTTTTCATTTTCTTTATAAAGATACAGATACAGATTCTTTTTAATATTCTTGTTTAAAACATTTACATATCACACAATGTAACTTTATTTTCTTCGTGAAATCTTATATTATTTTCTTTATTTTTTCCGCTATATTTTAAATATATTGATAACCAAAATTAGTTGGAAATGTTATAGGTCACAAAGATAGATAGATTAAAAATAACAACACCAAAACAATAAGAGAAGGATATATTTTATATGCAATATTTTTTAATTTGTAAAATGTTTAACAATCATAGTAGTGAAGATGAAATTATGGAGATGGGTTCTCCTGAATCAAATCCGAATCTTAAAATTCTAGATGGAAAATTTTATAAAGTAATTCAAGTGAAAAAGAACAAGGTACAAGCTGAATGTCAAAATTGCACAAGTAGAAAAGTTATTAAAGGTTCAGCGTCTACATGGCAGAAAATTTGATGGAGGCAACCCCCATCCCAAATCTACCCCTACCCCCCTAAAAAAATTTCGCGGCCTTCGGCCGCGATTATTTGCCTTAATCAAGAAAATCTTATATTAAGTCACTATTTATACCCTTACAAACATTCAGACCTGCTTTGGAAAAAAAAATTTACAAACTGATAACTATTGTTACTATCCGTTTTCAATTAACTTATATTTAAGTAGGTAGTGCAATCTTTTCATAATTTGATTGATAATCAATTTATTTTCATAAAAATTAATATAATAGTATTAAATGAGATAACATATTTACATTACTATAAAAAAATATCAAAAATTTAGTAAAAAAATATAAGATGAGTAATTTTAAAGAGGTATAGCTTGATTCTATAATTACTAATACCTTTATATTAAGTAAAAAAAACAAAATGAGTAATTTTAAAGAGGTATAGCTTGATTCTATAAATACTAATGCCTTTATATTAATTAAAAACATTCATATAGATATAACTATTATATAAAAAAAATTTTTATGTAAATATAACTTTTATATAAAATATTAGAATAAAGAATATAGTATATTTTGCACAAGAATTATAAAAACATTTATGTAAATATAAAACTATTATATAAAATATAAAATGAATAGAGTATATTTTGCACTGGAAATATAAATTTTTTTATGTAAATATAACTTTTATATAAAATATGAGAAAAAAATGAATATAGTTGCACTGGAATTATAAAAACATCTATGTAAATATAAGTTTTATATAAAATATTAAAATAAAATGAATATAATATATTTTGCACTGGAATTATAAAAACATTTATGTAAATATAACTATTATAAAATATTTAAATAAAATGAATATAGTATTATATTATGCACCGGACTAGAATGATATAAAAAACTATTAAATTAAATTTACATTATTAAAAAGGCGTATATAATTAGCTGTGAAAAAGATATAACTTATTTTATTAATAATTTAGTTAATCTTTTAGACGTAGATGCAAATCGCGTTATAATGTCGTCTATTTTAAATCTTTCAAAAACATCAATTTCGCTGGATATTAGAAGTAAATTTTCTAAAAAGGGGTCAGAAATTTTATTCCGCATTCTAGTTTTATTTATTTTGACTTTGCTCATCATCACTCTTTCGGCTGAACAAGAAGTAGTTGGTAGAGTCAATAAATATTTATATAATAAATATAAATTAGAATAAGAATTTAATTTATTTAAAAGACGATATGGTAGTATAAATGAATATTTTATCCATTTTTTTGTATTAATTATGTTATCGTTATTGATATCTTCCTCGGTTTCATCGTTTACAATACCTTTAATTATATATAATTTTAAATAAAATATCAATAAATTACTTTCATCAATATATAACCCATCATTCTTTTTTATTTTCAAAAGATCCTTGCAATAAATGATTGCTTGTGAATCCAAATATAAAGATCGAAAATCATTATATTCACGAGCAATATCTTGAGCATTTAATTGGTAAGTATGACAAATTTGAGATATTTGCCACCCTTCTATTCTATCATTGGCTATAATTCCAGCTGGTGTAAAAAGAGATATTTGAGATAAAAAATTTAAACAATCATAATTAAATCTTTCATTTAAATCATTAATGATTGTATCAAGCACAGGGAAAAATATTTCCCTTTTTTTTATATCTATAATGCTAAATAATAATTTTAAATCTTTTTTTATTCAACTTGTTTTTTTTTTGTTTAACATAATTATTGAATGCTGTTTGATCAAATTTGAATATTGATTTTATATTATGCAATTCCGTTGTAACATTATTCTTTTTCAAATAACTGTTAGATAAGGAATGCAATTTTAAAAAAATATTATCCCCATTAGCTACATTTTAAAATTATTTATAGAAATCGTAACTAATTTTAACCTCTTAGTCTTTGTAATTTATTTTTTGTGTGTTGTATTAATTTAGTTACCATAGCCAAATCATTACCAACTGCCTGCATTTCAATACAAGCCTCATGTGTGCATTTCAATATTTCTTTCAAAATAAATAGACTTAATATGAAATCTTCATCCTTAATTCTTGTTAATAATCCATCGGCAATAGAAGAGGTGCTTGGGTCATTAGAATCTTTTAATTCATTTAATGATGCTATAATATGTTCATAAACATCTAAAAAAATTTCTACAGCTTTATAAGATGATGACCAATTTCTAAAAAAAGATAAGTTACATTAAAAATATTATATTTACCTTGTTGTATTTTTTATTCTTTTAAGAGATTTTTTAGACTTTGTCATTTGATATTTAACAAACACTCCTTGACGTCTTACCCCATTCATGAAATTATATAACTCATCCAATATTCCCATTACCTTTTTCATTTCTATTTTGCATCCACAAACATGAGCAACTACTAAATTGAGCCTATGTGCATGGCACCAAATATATATGGCTTTTGGAGCCTCTTTCAATATTAAAGCCTGCATTCCTTTGTATACTCCTCTCATATTCCCTGCACCATCCATACTTTGCCCAACCATATAATCAAGAGGAAGACCAAGATCTTTGAACTTAGAAAAAACATGTTTCTTTATATTTTCCCCGGTGGTTTCTGATGTTGTAAAAACATGGATGATCCTTTCTACAGGATGTGGATGCGGATCATCTTCTATATATCTTACAAGTAAAGCAATGCATTCTTTTTTAGACACATCATATGTTCCATCTAATATGATGCTATAGGCATGGCACAATTCTCTTTAATTTTTTGAATAATACATTTTATTATTTTTATCTTAATGACTTCAATAATTTTTTTCACATGGCCATATGACAATAAATTTATATAAGGTCTTGAAATTTTATCTGATTTTTTTCTCCTCAATTTTTCGTTGTTATCAATGTATGCCCGTAAAGTTGGAACCGTTTTTGCCATTAATTTTATGAGGCACATAAAATTACCTTCATTCGAATTAGTGCCCCAAAAGGCTATGTTACATTTTATAAGGTATATAATGGCATCAATAATATTATGAACTATATTACGATTTTCCATTATTATATCAAGCCTATTTGATAGAAAATGATCTTGAATACGCTTATTTGCAAGCCAAGTCATGTTGGTGTATTCACAATCCTTATGAATAGAAGATGACTCATGTCTCTCTAAGTCACGCTTAAAATTTTTCCAATTATTTACTCCAAGTTGAGTCCAAAAAGTATTGGATTTAGGGCCACCAAACATAAGACAATAAAGACAAAAGACTTTGTCTAAAGTGGTGCTAGTGCTATAGGATAACCAATTTCTTGGTTTGAGGGAACCATCAATATTAACCTTTTTATAATAGGATATATTCATGCTCCTATTTAAAAGTAGAAATAATGGATGCGTAAAAATTAATAAAAATTAAATTTTTTAAAAACCTTTTGTGAGTAACAGGATATTGAAATATATTTGAACATGGCTGACATGGGCCTATGGAAATTATGAAATTAATCAAGATATTTGTCATTCTAAAGAATATGAAATGAAAAGGGTCATTAGGCTCCTTTTTTTTATATAATTGAATAATATTTGGGCCTTTAATGTTTGAAATATTTTGGCTTGCATTGGGATTGATAATTGGATGAAAAAAAGATATAATTGGGGAATTTTCAATAACTTTGTGTGTTTGCTAATTATTATTAAAGAGTGTATAGTTTTATTTAAATTAAATACCTCATCATTCAAAATCAGCAGATCACTGGAACTGGGCATTGTATGAGAAGATAATATAATTTGGGAATCTTCAGTAAAAGATTTGTGCTAATTATTAAATAAATAAATAAAGAATAATTAAAATTTGTTTATTCATGAAAATATCTGAATATCCTCATTTATTCCCTTCAAAATTATAAAAGAAATCTTATTTAAATTAAGTACCTCATTATTCAAAATCAGCAGATCACTGGAACTGGGCATTGTATGAGAAGATAATATAATTTGGGAATCTTCAATAAAAGATTCATGCTAATTATTAAATAAAGAGTGGTTAAAATTTGTTTACTTATGAAAATCTTAATTTTAATAAAAATTTTATTCTTAATTAAGATATAGAAAAGTGGAAAATATTTCATAATTTATTCACTTCAGAATTATCAAACAAATCTTATTTAAATTAAGTACCTCATCATTCAAAATCACCAGATCACTGGAACTGGGCATTGTATGAGATAATATAATTTGGGAATCTTCAGTAAAAGATTTGTGCTACTTATTAAATAAAGAATAATTAAAATTTGTTTATTCATGAAAATATCTGAATATCCTCATTTATTCCCTTCAAAATTATAAAAGAAATCTTATTTAAATTAAGTACCTCAAGTACCTCATTATTCAAAATCAGCAGATCACTGGAACTGGGCATTGTATGAGAAGATAATATAATTTGGGAATCTTCAATAAAAGATTCATGCTAATTATTAAATAAAGAGTGGTTAAAATTTGTTTACTTATGAAAATCTTAATTTTAATAAAAATTTTATTCTTAATTAAGATATAGAAAAGTGGAAAATATTTCATAATTTATTCACTTCAGAATTATCAAACAAATCTTATTTAAATTAAGTACCTCATCATTCAAAATCACCAGATCACTGGAACTGGGCATTGTATGAGATAATATAATTTGGGAATCTTCAGTAAAAGATTTGAGCTAATTATTAAATAAAGATTAATTAAAATTTGTTCATGAAAATATCTGAATATCCTCATTTATTCCCTTCAAAATTATAAAACAAATCTTATTTAAATTAAGTACCTCATTATTCAAAATCAGCAGATCACTGGAACTGGGCATTGTATGAGATAATATAATTTGGGAATCTTCAATAAAAGATTTGTGCTAATTATTAAATAGAATAAAGAGTAGTGAAAATTTTAGGCAAATGACTTATTTTATTCTTAATTATAATATATAAATTTTTTTTTAACAAAAGTTGAAATATTTAAATATTCTTATAATTTATTTCCTTCAAAATTGATAAAGGGCATAATAAAAATGTACCTATATATTAAAAATCTTATCTTTAATAAAAATTAAAAGTATTATGCTCAAATTATAGATGAAGAATTGGTTTCTACTAATTCACAAAATTTAAGGTTATTTTTACTTATATTTATTGTCATGAATTAAAATAATATATATAAAAAATTACTTTTTGGAAGTAAGATGTTATTGATTTTTTTTGTAACTTGGTTTCAACCCCATTTGTGATATTGAATGGAATATCTTTATTTAAGGATACCCAATTATTATCCTTTTTGATAGCTATCTTTGTAAATTTGATATCAGATAACTTGACATGAGGATGTTTATGTTTATAATGGTTATTTATTTTGTCACTTCTTATTTTAGAAGTTTTACAATTAATATAGTCACATTTGACTTTATATTATATATTGTTTTGTTACTTGGCATCTAGAATAAAAATGAAATAAATATTTAGATAATATTTTTTTACTCACTGATGGCCATCAAGAATGATGGAGAATCATAATTTTATCCTTTATTTGACGGTGGATGGCTGAATCTTAAAATTCTCCTATCTTATGAGGTGTGATTCAGAAATTAAATTTATATTTGTTTAAATGAGGGTGTAATTTTAAAATTTTCCAGTGGTTTTACAAAATATATTAAAGAAATATATATTTAGATATTTTAATATATGTGCACAATAAATTTTTATTCATTTGTATTATATTTTTAATCTAAAAAATATATTAAAATCTTTTAAAATAAATTCTTATTCATTTGTATTTGTAATTTATAATCAAAAAAATATATTCTAGACCCTTATTGTTTTTAAATTAAAATTCATAAATATACACTCTATTAACATATTTTATAAAAATAATGAAAAATTTACTGATTCAATCATCATCATATAAAGGAAATTTATTATGCACCCATCATTGAATAAAGAAGAAAATAAGAAAATTCTGATTACCAGTCATTCATAATGGACTATCAGCTATTAACTTATATTTTTGATAATGTTTTCTTAAAAGATTCCTATTATATTATATGTAAGCTTAATGCATGGTCACAAAAAATATAATATTTTTTGTTATTTATGCCAAAACAATCATGGATCAATATTTCCTCCATTATACACTTCACAATTGATTTCTTTATTTCTTAGTGTCCAACAATTTTTAGAAATGTATGATGCTTTGAAATCATAGTTTCTTTAAATTAACAATCCTAATAAATTTTGCAAATAATTGAAAACAGGCATATTTGTGATTTGCCCATTCATTTATCTTCAAATAAAGTCTGAGAAATGATATATTTTAATCATTGAAATTAGAGACCTTCACTGGCATTGATTTCTTCATCCAGCCTAGGTCATAAGTAAAAATAATTTTCAGGCCCAGTTCATGTTTAATGGAAATCCAAACCCAAACCACATCATAGGTTTCAAAGATTATTCCCAAGCCATATCCAAAAATTTAATTTATTGTTAACAGTTAACAAAATAAACAATATTTCAGTATATGGAATCACTTTGTCAATTCATTTAATTGAAATCTTTTCTTAAATCAATAATCAAATGAGAGGAATAGATTATCTGTTCATTCTCCCAAGATTTCTATAAATATTTAGAAAAAAGGCCAAATATATTATGGAAAATTTGATGTTATATAAAATTTATCTAATAATGAAATAAAAAATTTATCAATTCTTTTAACAAATTTTTTATCACACAATGGTTTTCACCTCTCACTTATAATTTTGTATATAATTTACACTTACCTCAAAGAATCATTTATCATAAATAGAAATCAATTATGGGTCCAACCTGATTGCCTCACAAAAATGTGGTAATATTTACCCCATTGAAAATGATTATTTAAAAAATTATTAGCAAAAATAATTGCCATGGTTCAAAACCCAGATAACTTATTAAGTATACATATTAAGATTAAATAAAAATAGCTTCATTCTTTATTATATTTATTTATCTATCATCAAATTAAGGAAAATGCAATTATATGCTTAAAATTAAAAAATTACCTTTTTAAAATCCAAAAATGTTTCTTTATATTGTTAATTGAGTAGGATTATCTTATCATAAAAGGGATTCTTTATTCAAAAGGTCCTTATTATAAAAAAATATATATTGATAATTTAAAATTGATACTGTGAAAATCTAAATCCCATTATGTAAATGAATTTTCTAAAAATTTAAAAAAATAAATATAGTGTATAATATTTATAAATTGACAGATATCTTTTCTTTAATTGACATTTTTCAGAAAATCAACGATAATCATATCGATTATTGGATTTAAAAATATCATAATACAAGTCAAAAATTACCCTCCAAAAATCAATACCTACCCCCCAAAAACAAATGCCTACCCCCCAAAAATCAATATCTACCCCCCAAAATTAATACCTACCCCCCAAAATGCCAATATTTTTTGGAGGCATTTGTCTCCTACCCCCCCCGGCCATGTAGGTGTAACGACTGTGAATTAGGTTCAACAAACTTCTTTACAAACTTTGTTAAACATATTAAAGTATATTATATTTTTATTTTATAATTATCAACATAATAATACCTATACTTAAGTCCCTCTTAGATAATTGTTATTAAAATTTTTTATAGAAGATGGTTGATTACAAATTAAAATCATTTTGGATATATATTTTTTAGGGGTGTGTCGATACCACTTTTTGGAGGCCGATCCGATATTCCCGATATTAAATTGATATCGGCCGATTACCGATCCGATATCATATCTAATTTTGTATTATGTAAAGATACCAATGATTTTAATTTTTAATATACTTTTTATTAGTATAACATCTATAATTTAACTATACCATAACTAATGTCATTTAAATATATTATAATGATGAGTTATAGTTTATATTCAATTCAATTGCAATTCTAAAAGTATATAAAATATTTTTATTATTAAATCACTTTTATATAATAAATAATAACATTAATCTATATACATAATAAGTAATAAACAATTATATTATGAAATTTGAAATAAATATTAAAAATAATATTTAACATTAATATAACGAAGATTTCTTTTTAGAAATACCAATATTTCCAATTTATCAGAGGTCAGCTTGCGGCGATAATAACTGTCAATATCACCAGCTTCTCTAAAAACAGATTCTGAAGAGAATCTCGCACACCTTTATAAACAGAATGCGCAGAAAAAATAACAATATGGCAGAATATTTATTAATTAATTATTAAACATAATAATTTTCTTTAATGCATTTTAAATTGATTAAATTTTGTAAATAAATACTGTAAAGTAATTTTACTTATATCATAAATAAATAAAAGTAACTAATAAAGTTAAATTCTACCTTATTATAATTATTTTATTAAGAGCCTTTTAAAATTATCTAATATTTTTATATATCAATTGTAGCTTAAATTTTTTCTATAATAAGTGCTATAATAATTATATATAAAATATATTAGGGATGTGCCGATTTTTTTATCTGATCGGATCGGGCCGGTTTCACTCATTTTAAAATATCGGTTATCCGCCAATATTATAAAATTTGATCCGATATAAAATGGCTTCTTTAACAAAAATAAAATGTTATAAAATTTTAAAAAAAATTATATATAAAATCATTTATTTTTATAAATAAAATCGAAATCCATTTTTATGTATATTTTTTTAATAATAATTATGTATTTAATAATTATAATATAAAGTTGTACATTATTATGATATTTTTTATATATAATTAATGATTTTGCAAGAAATATATAAAAAAAATTTGAAAAGAGATTTAAATGATATTTATATAAATGATATTACAAACGCAAGAATTAATAAGTCATATTAGAAAATAAACTAATTTAAATAATACATAAAAATCACAAATAAGTAATGATAAATACTTATTAAAGATAATGAATAAAATAAAACTAGTATATTTTTTTAGAGATGCCATTTAGCCATATACTCCGAATATAAGCTCTATTTAAAACAACACAGAAAATAACCTGCACATTCTAATAAATCATTTGATTTTATTTTTTTTCTTATTTGCAAATTTTCAACTCCCATTAAATATACTACTTTCCCTTCCCTGTTTAAGCTATTAATGGGCAAAAACTAATATTAAAATCCCTGGTTATTATAATTAATTTATTAATAAATATTTTATTAATTATTGCAAATAATTCTTATATGTGTATGCTATGTTCTTCACAAATAAATAATAAAAACTGTATTTTATAAACTATTCTAATTTAATTGGTATTTATAATTTAAAAGTATTTTGTATTTAAGATACTCTAATTTAGTAAAAGATACAAGTATCTTTTATCTTGTATCTTTTTGATATTTTGAAAAAGATACTAGTATCTGTATATAAGATTCAATTTTTTATAAAGAATCTGTATCTGTATCTAGATTCTTTTTCTAGAGGACCTGCCCAACTCTGATGATGAGTATGATAATTATATACGATAAACTTCCTAATATTTTGTATATGCATTTATCCATAATGGAGGAATAAAATGGCAGAAACCCAATTGTATAAAATAGGACTATCTATTTTTATTGAATGAGTGCTATTTTAATTATTAGATTAGATTAATACATATAAATTATATTTTCAATATGTCAGCTTCCAATCAAATTCTGTGTTAAAATGGAATATCAATATCACTCATACTAAATATCAATGTGCATTAACAGTTGAAGCTTAATTGATTTTATTATTTAAATTATTTTATAACCCTAATTAAAAAATATAATCATTTATTATTTGAAAATTAGCAAATTTAATCTTGTAATTAGCAGAGTTCAAAATCATTAATCAACTATATTATTCTTCATTAAATTTAATCACCATGCCTCTTCCTAAAAATATTTTCAAGGTCCAAACAAGTATAAGATATTTCTTTATAAAATATTATCAGACATATAGTTTATAATCCTCTATTATATAGGATTGGTTACAAAATATTAGGTAAAATGTCACTTTTACAGACATACAGGTAAAGAATATATTACAGTTAATATTTTAATAAACCTTATTAATCAATGCTTTTGATAACAAATATAATAACAATTTTCAATTCTTTAATGCCATCTTATTTATAATAAATAAATCTAATTAAAAATTAAACATTTTATTATTTATCCCACAATGGATATAATCCTTATTAGATATCTTTTTTTCCTTCTCTTTTTTTAAAGGTTTTTAGGAAAGCTATTTTTTCTTCTTTGAAAAATAGTTTTGAGTTAATTAAAACGAGTATATTTTTGATATTATTTCAAGCTATTGATATTTTAAGACAGGTGGTGCGACAATGATATATAAAATCCTAATTGCTTTCATCATATCACTCTGGTCCTTATTTTCTAGTTATTAAATTATTCACTTCTAATATGGAATTCTTATCTTATAAATAAATAAGGCTTCAATATATTTGCATAATTATTTCTTCTTAAGATTTTTAGTGTTTCTGTTTTATTAATTTATCTAACATAATAAATTCTGATATGAGTTTACATTGTGAGTATCAAGGCTATGACTACTAATTAACTAGCACCTATTATTTGTGTGTCTATGTAATTGAAGATTATTACTCCCTGCTGCTGGGAGCTTTTGATTGCATAATTTAGATGAGTATTAATGGTCAACTGTTTAGTCGTTTATATATCATTAAAAATGAAAGATAATCTTTTATAAATTTAATATCTCACAATAATTTTCTCGATTCTAGCTTCCATAATGTCATCTAAAAGGAAGCTCCAACCACCATATAGTTTTATGATTTGAATTTATATCATCTTCTTCGAGAATTATTGATTTAATTAGCCCTACAAATTTTTCCTTATTAGTCTATTTGATGAAATACTGTCTAAAATGGTAACACAACGTTATATTAATTTCATGTATGTTACCTAGAATTATATTGCCTTGTGGGGTTTTTAAAAACCACTATCAATTGAAGCAGTGTATGAATTAATGAACCTTTTTTATAACTTGTAATTTTTGAGCGTAAAATTTTTTTATATCCGTAATTAAAAATATTAATTTTAAAAATGTCTAGTATTTTTTTTATTTTCATTATTTGTAATTCTATATTTTAGATTAACGGAAGGCTCAAAAAAGAATAAAAAAATTTAATTTTTATTTTATTTTTTATTATTACTAATACTAAAAAATTTACAATTATATATATATATATACAATTTTTATTTACACTTTTTACATAAGTTTTTTTAAAAGGTTAAATTTTGACAACTTCATCCTTAAAAAGTAAAATAAAATTTAAGAAAATTTCATTAGGAAAATATAAAGTTTGAAGGTCATTAAATTACAAAAGTAAAAAATATATAAAGTTTATGCAAAATTTATATATTAACATTTCCCTCTTTTTTTAATGTCTTCTTTCCTCAGTTTCTTATCTTCATTTCCAGTCATTTGTTTCTCAATTGCTCCATTAGTCATTTGTTCGTATATCTTTAGATTGTTTGTTTGACCATCTGATTATCGTTTGTTAAATCGATTATCGAACATCATGAAACATCGTTGGTTGCACGTCGTTGGTTGAACATTGCTTGTTGATTTGCTGTTTGTATTGATCATCCCATTTCTCTTTCAAAATTTTATACAAATATTTTTACAAAATTTTATTTATTTATAACAATCATTTTCTATGTCGTGGTCATATTCTCGATTTTGAACTTGACTTTGAATTTTTAAATCTTGAACTTGAACTTGTTCACTTCTTCCCCCTCTAAAAATTTTTTTTCATTTGTAGTAGAATTTTCATTTGATATTTTGTTCGTTGTTTAGCCTGAGTCATTTTTCATTGGTTTGTTCGTAGCTTGCTATCCTTATCGTCTAATCATTTGCTTGAACATCATCCTCAAATTAGCTTGTTCATCTCGTTATTTATTATCATTTTTATTTATTTATCAATGTTTGTAAATATATATTATGATCAATATATCTCAAATAAAATAATTTTGAAATAATTGAAATGATAATGGAATAAATAATTTATCAGAATCATTCATAAGAATAAGAATCATAATTTGGAATATAGAATATATTGAATTTTAAATTTTACTCTCTTATTTTTCAATTTAAATAATTTCTTTTTATCAGAATCTATCCTCCAATTGTTCTTTATAAAAAAATTTCTCTTTCTCCTTCCATCTTCAACATACGATCTCCATATCGTACTCTTAATCTCTTTTTCAACATCAAGATATTTAATCACCTTGCCTCTCTTTTTAATATT